TTTTTTTTTTTAAGGGCGAAATTATTATTATTAAAAATCCCGATTTTTTTTTCTATCAAAAAAATAAAAACAAAAAAAAAATATGGAAACAATGAATGTGCAGCCACTTGCTCTTGTGCATAACAATGAAGTTTGTTATATTGAGGAAAATAATGCAAATGTCCAAAATAAATTTTCATGTTTTAAAATTTTTAAATTAAAGGTAATTTTATTTTAATAATTAAAAAAAAAAAATTTTAATAATTATGATCTCTCCTAGTAATCGATCATAATTAATTAATTAAAGTTTATTATTATTATTATTATTATTATTATTATATTTTTAGGGGCCTATCGACGTTAATTATTTACTTAATAATATATTTCCTCCTGATGAAAAAAATTATTATAATATGGAAGTTTCCGATTATGATGGAAAATCGGCAAAGGTAATGTAATTTCATTTGTAATTGTCTTAATAAATAATTTCAATAATTTCTTAAAAAAATTTCTTTTAATTCCTTATTAGGTTAAATTTAATTTTACGAATAGAACTCACACAGATTTGGTTCGACATTTACAAAATTCCGCAGAAAAATTTTTTAATATATCTGATAATGGTCTTTTTGATTGGTTAGCTTCCGATACTGTCACTTTTAGAACAATTTATTAAAATACTGATACGGCTGCTTCTCAACAAATTCGTTTCAATAGAGTTTTATTTTCCGATGATGTTACTATTACTTCTTCCTCTTCCTCTTCTATAACAGAACAACCTAATTTAGATCTTTATCCAATTATAGATGAAGAAGCGATTGAACGTGAATTAAATGAATTATCTAAAAAAATTTCTTCTAAATCAACTTTAAAAAATTATGAATTAGAAAGATTATTTCATAATACATTTCAAAGAAGGGATTTGACTGTTACTATTAGTGATTTAGCTGATGAATACTTTGGTCAAATAAGAAATGTTGTCACTTTTGTTGGTAGTGATAATCCTAATTCTGTTATTGAGGATAATATTATGATGGATTCAAATTTGATCGTTCATAATTTTGCTAGATATTTATTTAAACACGCTGAACTTTATATCAACTCTTACGAAGCCGGAATTCTAACGGGTTTTGTAAGTATGATTGAAGGTGAATCAAGTAACGATCGAATTAAGTACGACTAAGCTAAAACGTTCTTTATTTATTTTTTTTAATTAGGTTAAAAATTATAAATTCGGAATTATCTTAACATTATGGAATTTAATTAACGTCATTCATTCGATTCATCAATCATATCAAGTATTAATAGATTCTGATGAAGGTTTTAAAAAAATTTTTCAATCACAAAAATCAGAGTTTACGAATTATTTATCAATCATGGATAAAACTCTTATGGATTTATTGATCATTTTATTTGATGTGATTGATGAGGAAAAATATGAAAGACTTCAACGTAAGTTTTTTATTCATTTTTTTAAATAAATTTTTTTTTTTGCAACTTGATCATAAATAAAAAAAATTTTTTTTTTTTTCCTGATAGGACGACTCGAACAATTTGTTATAGCTGCGGAAGATTTAATGAGAATTGTTATGCTTATTAATAATGAATGTAATAAAGAATTAGAAAAATTAGAAGATCAAAAGCAAGATTTATCATGTAAATTATATGCCGCTGCTATGTAAGTCTAGAGAATTTATTATGATTCCAAATATATATATTTTTCAATTTTTTACATTTTTTATCTTTCATTTTATTAATTATTTTTTTTTTTTTAAAAAAAAAAAATTTACTGCGTTCAATTTAATAGTACAATCGGAATTACTGCGTTTGTTATAGGTGGATATATGTATAATAAAAAGAGTTTCGGAAGTAAAGATTACGAAAAATATGAGGTGAACTATTTACATTTTATTGTTCATTTTCTTTTTATATAAAAATTTAATTAAATTTAATTAAATTTAATGACCTAAAAAAAAATTTTCTAAATAGAAATGGATCGGAAAAGCAGCAATATATGCTACAGGAGCAACAACGACAGCAGTTATGTATAATGCGTGTTCGACTAGATCAAAATTACAAAATTCTATAGAAAAACATACGAGTATACTTGAACAATTACAATCAGCGTATAAAGAATTAAGAAATTGGAAAATTCTTGGTAAAAGATATATTCAAAAAGATATTGATGACATGAATAATAATAGGATGACCTTGATTGATGAATTTGTTAGAATTAGAAGTCAATGTAAATGTCTTGGTGAAATTTTTAATTCATTAGATGATGATAAAAAATGAGGAAGTCGGTAAAAGTTGAAATTGTATATTAAAAATACGAACTCAAAAGAAAAGAAAAAAATAGTAGCTATACGTAACAAGTCTTAACACGATTTTTTTTTTTATTTTATATATCGGATATGTAAGTGTATGTATAATTAATATAAGTAAACAATATATATCGGATTGTATGTTGTATAAATAATAAAATATTTATTTTATATAAATTAACGCAAAGGATGGCGTGGAATGATGATTGATAATGAAGCGTTATTAAAAATTAATTTTAAGAGACATCGTAAAATTCTAAAGATAATTTCAACTTTTCATGAGGTTTTAATTTTTTAACAGTGCAAAAATACTTAAAAACATGGTGTAGAATAGGAATGATAGGATAAATTAAATTATATTCTCATTATATTCTCATTTTTTTTTTCCGTTCCGTTTCGGCAAAAATCTTTCGCCAAAAGAGTAAGTTGGGCAACATGTTACATATATCCATGATATCTGAATATGTGCTACTTGACGTTAAATACTAGCTAAAGTATCTCTTTGTAACAAACAATTTAACCGCTTTTGAACATTAATACGCCAAGTTTTCAAATTTCCTTTTAATAAATGTATAAATAAGATTCAAAAATTTTAATATTTTGGATTATACACGATTCTATAAATAAATTTCATTTTTTCATTATAACTTACGTTATATGCTTCCACTTTAGACTATACCATTTTAATTTTAGAACAAAATTTATTTTCTTTTTGATATTCCGACGCAGTAATCGTACAGCATTTGTTTTGTTACACGAATAATGGAATCCGAATTCTGGATGCATAAAATGAAGCTTTTTCCATATTTAAATAATTTTCTTTTCGATATTTTTGACTTATTCCGTTATCTTGTTATTATAAAGTCTATTATTATTGTTTTTTTTTGAATAATTTATCAAACCATGAGTTTGGACGGAAATTGTGAGGAATGTAAACAAGAAAATACTAGATTTGATTGGTGTAAAGAATGTAATGCAAAACGGTTTCAACAAAATTTTAAAAATTGGACTAGCGGTAATAATGATATTGACAAATTTATTCAAGACACTCAATTATCAGCAACTCTTTGGTTGGAAGTATTAGAGTGGATACCTTACAATAAATTTCATGATATTGAATATATTGCGAAAGGCGGTTTTGGAAAAGTGTATAGTGCAAAATGGATTGATGGATATATTGATAAATGGGATAATGAAAATCAAAATTGGAAACGAAATAATTCAAATATGTTTGTAGCACTGAAAAGTTTAAATAATTCAGAAAATGTCACACTAGAATTTATCAATGAGGTATAAATTATTTATTACTTAATGAAATTTTTAGATGTAATTTTACTAATGTGCTTTTAAAAAAAATGTAATTTAGATTAAATTACACAGTAAACTTGGCGCTTATACAGAGAATGTTGTTATAGCTTATGGAATAACTCAAGATCCAGAAACAAAAAATTATATGATGGTTTTGGAATATGCAGAAAATGGAAGTTTACGAAATTACTTAAATAAAAGTTACAGTAGATTAAATTGGAAGGATAAGCTTGAATATTTATCTAATACTGCATGTGGACTTGGGAACATTCATGACAACGAACTGACTCATAGAGATTTACATATTGGCAATGTATTAATGAATGATTCAGAGACTATTATAACTGATATGGGGTTATGTAAACCTGCAGATTATAAAGAATCAGAAAGTGCTAAAAATACTAAAATATATGGTGTGTTACCTTATATTGCACCTGAAATTTTAAGAGGACAAAATTATACTAAGGCTTCTGATATTTATAGTTTTGGTATAATTATGTATGAAGTAATTTCTGGATTACCTCCATATCATGATGTAAGCCATGATATAAATTTATCAATAAAAATTTGTCAAGGACTTAGGCCAAGGTTTAATATTAAAGTACCTCAATTAATTGTACATTTAATTAAAAGATGTTTAGATGCAAGTCCATTAAATCGACCAACAGCAAATGAAATTAAAGAAATGTTATGTGAATGGAGTAGTAATTATCGTATTCCATTCGAATTAAAAAAACAAATTAAAGAAGCAGAAGAAATCAATAATAGTTTACCAACTAACAGCATACCTTCAACTAGTTTAGGATTAACATATGAAACACATTCTGAAGCTGTTTATACAAGTAGATTACTTAATTTTAATAATCTTCCCGAACCAAAAAATTCTGATGATTATTATGATGATCGAAATGATAATATAATTAGTGAAAAATTTTCAGGTAAATAATAATTTGCGAATAACTAAATTAATTGTAAAGCACTAACATATTTTATTTCATCAAATAGAATCTCTACAAATTGATATTTCACAATTGAAAATTAGTGATGCAGGTATTATAATGATAATTTTAATTTTTTTTATTTTATTATATATAATAAATAAATGTTTTTTTCGTATTACAGATGAAACAAAAAGTGTTGAAGAAATGGTAGAATAAGAAATTATGGTAAATAGTAGCTTATCTATGACAGTAACCTTCTATTATAGGTATTAAACATATCTTATCTTATATTTTGTATATTTAAGCATGATTATAATGTTACGTTTTTTTATTTTATATGTTACAAATTAAATATGAATTCTTGTATTTTTTTTTGGTTTGTATGAAATTTTGCATTGGATTTATAATATTAAAAAATTAGTGTACTAAATGTACTTGACGTATTTAACATTCGGAAAATAAAAAAAAATGAGATTTTATAAAGACGTAATAAATAATAATCCTTTTTTTAAAATTAGTTTAATGAAGCTGGATTACTGCTAGCTGGATTAGCATCAGATACAGTCGGTTACTTTTAGAAAAATCTATCAAAATACTGATGAGCTGCTTTTCAACAATTTTCGTATCAGTAAAGCCTTTTCTTCTGTTATATAACGTTCTTCAAAAGCACCAACTGGTTTAAGTTGAACAATTAAAATATGATTGATTTATTCAAATAATAATTTTGCGATATTTTTATTTAAATACGTTAAATACGCTGAAACTTATACCAACTCCGGCGGCGAGTTTACGAATTATTTATCAATCATGGATAAAACTCTAATGGATTTATTGATCATTTTATATGATGTGATTGATGAAGAAAAATATGAAAGACTTCAACGTAAGTTTTTTATTCATTTTTTTAAATAAATTTTTTTTTTTGCAACTTGATCATAAATAAAAAAAATTTTTTTTTTTTTCCTGATAGGACGACTCGAACAATTTGTTATAGCTGCGGAAGATTTAATGAGAATTGTTATGCTTATTAATAATGAATGTAATAAAGAATTAGAAAAATTAGAAGATCAAAAGCAAGATTTATCATGTAAATTATATGCCGCTGCTATGTAAGTCTAGAGAATTTATTATGATTCCAAATATATATATTTTTCAATTTTTTACATTTTTTATCTTTCATTTTATTAATTATTTTTTTTTTTTTAAAAAAAAAAAATTTACTGCGTTCAATTTAATAGTACAATCGGAATTACTGCGTTTGTTATAGGTGGATATATGTATAATAAAAAGAGTTTCGGAAGTAAAGATTACGAAAAATATGAGGTGAACTATTTACATTTTATTGTTCATTTTCTTTTTATATAAAAATTTAATTAAATTTAATTAAATTTAATGACCTAAAAAAAAATTTTCTAAATAGAAATGGATCGGAAAAGCAGCAATATATGCTACAGGAGCAACAACGACAGCAGTTATGTATAATGCGTGTTCGACTAGATCAAAATTACAAAATTCTATAGAAAAACATACGAGTATACTTGAACAATTACAATCAGCGTATAAAGAATTAAGAAATTGGAAAATTCTTGGTAAAAGATATATTCAAAAGGATATTGATGACATGAATAATAATAGGATGACCTTGATTGATGAATTTGTTAGAATTAGAAGTCAATGTAAATGTCTTGGTGAAATTTTTAATTCATTAGATGATGATAAAAAATGAGGAAGCCGGTAAAAGTTGAAATTGTATACTAAAAATACGAACTCAGAAGAAAAGAAAAAATAGTAGTTATACGTAACAAGTCGTAACCCGATTTTTTTTTTTTATTTTATATATCGGATATGTAAGTATATGTATAATTAATTAATATAAGTAAACAATATATATCGGGTTGTATGTTGTATAAATAATAAAATATTTATTTTATATAAATTAACGCAAAGGATGGCGTGGAATGATGATTGATAATGAAGCGTTATTAAAAATTAATTTTAAGAGACATCGTAAAATTCTAAAGATAATTTCAACTTTTCATGAGGTTTTAATTTTTTAACAGTGCAAAAATACTTAAGAACTTGGTGTAGAATAGGAATGATAAGATAAATTATATTATATTCTCATTATATTCTCATTTGTTTTTTTTTTTCTGTTTCGTTTCGGTAAAAATCTCATCTCGTTAATAAGAATAAGTTGGACAACATGTTACGTATATCCATGATATCTGAATCTTCTCGACGTTAAATAGCCAAAGTATCTCTTCGTAAAAAAATTTAACCGCTTTTGAACATTATACGCCAAGTTTTCAAATTTCCTTTTAATAAATGTATAAATAAGATTCAAAAATTTTAATATTTTGGATTATACACGATTCTATAAAATTTCATTTTTCATTATAACTTACGTTATATGCTTCCACTTAAACTATACCATTTTAATTTTAGAACAAAAATTATTTTCTTTTTGATATTTTCGACGCAGTAATCGTACAGCATTTGTTTTGTTACACGAATATTGGAATTCAGAATCTGGATGCATAAAATGAAGCTTTTTCCATATTTAAATAATTTTCTTTCCGATATTTTGACTTATTCCGTTATCTTGTTATTATAAAGTCTATTATTATTTTCTTTTTTTTGAATAATTTATCAAACCATGAGTCAGTTTGGAATTTGTGAGGAATGTAATCAAGAAAATACTGATGTTCATTGGTGTAAAGCATGTAATGCAAAATGGTTTCAACAAAATTTTAAAAATTGGACTAGCGGTAATAATGATATTGACAAATTTATTCAAGATACTCAATTATCAGCAATTAAAAATTTTGAAGTATTAGAGTGGATACCTTACAATAAATTTTATGATATTGAATATATTGCAAAAGGCGGTTTTGGAAAAGTGTATAGAGCAAAATGGATTGATGGATATATTAAAAAATGGGATAATGAAAATCAAAATTGGAGACGAAATAATTTAAATATATTTGTAGCACTGAAAAGTTTAAATAATTCAGAAAATGTTACACTAGAATTTATCAATGAGGTATAAATTATTTATTATTTAGTGAAATCTTTAGATGTAATTTTTACTAATGTGCTTTTAAAAAAAATGTATATTTAGATTAAATTACACAATAAAATTGGCGCTACTACAGGGTATGTTATCATAGCTTTTGGAATAACTCAAGATCCAGAGACAAAAAATTATATGATGGTTTTGGAATATGCAGAAGATGGAAGTTTACGAAATTACTTAAATAAAAGTTACAGTGGATTAAATTGGGAGTATAAGCTTAGATATTTATATTATATTGCAGAAGGACTTGTGACAATTCACGAAAACGAACTGACTCATAGAGATTTACATATTGGCAATGTATTAATGAATGATTCAGAGACTATTATAACTGATATGGGGTTATGTAAACCTGCAGATTATAAGGGAATCAGAAAGTGCAAAAAATAAAATATATGGTGTTTTACCTTATATTGCCCCTGAAATTTTAAGAGGACAAAATTATACTAAAGCTTCTGATATTTATAGTTTTGGTATAATTATGTATGAAGTAATTTCTGGATTACCTCCATATCATGATGTAAGCCATGATATAAATTTATCAATAAAAATTTGTCAAGGACTTAGACCAAGGTTTAATATTAAAGTACCCCAATTAATTATACATTTAATTAAAAGATGTTTAGATGCAAATCCATTAGACCGCCCAACAGCAAATGAAATTGATGAAATTTTGGATCAATGGTATTATAAGTTTAAAGATCAAACAGAACTACAAAAACAAATTAAAGAAGCAGTTGACAACAATAATAGTTTACCGACTAGCAGCATACCTTCAACTAATTTAGGATTAACATATGAAACACATTCTGAAGCTGTTTATACAAGTAGATTACTTAATTTTAATAATCTTCCCGAACCAAAAAATACTGATGATTATTATGATGAACGAAATGATAATATAATTAGTGAAAAATTTTCAGGTAAATAATAATTTGCGAATATCTAAATTAACTAAATTAATTATAAAAATACTAACATATTTTATTTCATCAAATAGAATCTCTGCAAATTAATATTTCTCAATTAAAAATTAGTGATGCAAGTATGTATAATGATAATTTATTTTTATTTTATTTTATTATATATAGTAATAAATAAATATTTTTTTCGTATTGCAGATGAAACAAAAAATGGTGAAGAAATGATAGAATAAGAAATTGTAGTAAATTAGTAGAATAGTAGCTTATTTATGATAGTAACCTTTTATTATAGGTACTTAACATATCTTATTATATATTTTATATATTTAAGCATGATTATAATGTTACGTTTATTTATTTTATATATTACAAATTAAATATGAATTTTTGTATTTGTTTTTGGTTTGTATGAAATTTTACATTGGATTTATAATATTAAAAAATTTAGTGTACTAAATGTACTTGACGTATTTAACATTCGGAAAATAAAAAAAAATGAGATTTTATAAAGCCGTAATAAATAATAATCCTTTTTTTAAAATTAATGAAGCTGAATTACTGCTGGATTAGCATCAGATAGTCAGTTTTAGAAAAATCTATCAAAATACTGATGCAGCTGCTTTTCAACAATGTTCGTATTAAAGCCTTTTCTTCTGATATATAACGCTCTTCTAAAGCACCAACTGATTTAAATTGTACAATTAAATAATAATTTTACTAGATTTTTATTTAAATACGTCAAATACGCCGAAACTTATACCAACTCCGGCGGCGAGTTTACGAATTATTTATCAATCATGGATAAAACTCTAATGGATTTATTGATCATTTTATATGATGTAATTGATGAGGAAAAATATGAAAGACTTCAACATAAGTTTTTATTAATTTTTTTTAATTTTTTTTTTTTGCAACTTGATCATAAAAAAACAAAAAAAAAATTATTTTTTCTAATAGGATGGCTCGAACAATTTGTTATAGCTGCGGAAGATTTAATGAGAATTGTTATGCTTACTATTAATAATGAATGTAATAAAGAATTAGAAAAATTAGAAGATCAAAAGCAAGATTTATCATGTAAATTATATGCCGCTGTTATGTAAGTCTAGAGAATTTATTATGATTCCAACTTTCAATTTTTTACTTTCATTTTATTAATTATTTTTTTTTTTTTAAAAAAAAAATTTTTACTGCGTTCAATTTAATAGTACAATCGGAATTACTGCGTTTTTTATAGGTGGATATATGTATAATAAAAAGAGTTTCGGAAATAACAATTAAATTTAGTCACTTAAAAAATTTTTCTAAATAGAAATGGATCGGAAAAACAGCAATATATGCGTCAGGAGCAACGACGACAGCAGTTATGTATAATGCGTGTTCGACTAGATCAAAATTACAAAATTCTATAGGAAAACATGAGTATACTTGAACAATTACAATCAGCGTATAAAGAATTAAGAAATTGGAAAATCCTTGGTAAAAGATATATTCAAAAGGATATTGATGACATAAATAATAATAGGAATGACCTTGATCGATGAATTTGTTAGAATTAGAAGTCAATGTAAATGTCTTGGTGAAATTTTTAATTCATTAGATGATAAAAAATGAGGAAGCCGGTAAAGTTGTAAAAATACGAACTCAGAAGAAAGAAAAAAATTGTAGTTATACGTAAAAAGTCACAACACGAATTTTTTTTTTTTTCGGATAAGTATAAAGTACTATAATATAAGTAAATAATATATATCAGATTGTATGTTGTATAAATAATAAATATTTATTTTATATAAATTAACGCAAAGGCGTAAAATGATGATGATTGATAATGAAGCGTTATTAAAAATTAATTTTAAGAGAACATCATACATTCAAGATAATTTCATTAAAACGAAATTTTTCATGAGGTTTTAATTTTTAACAGTGAAATACTTAAGAACATGGCGTAGAATAGGAATGATAGGATAAATTATATTATATTCATATTCTCATTATATTCTCATTTGTTTTTTTTCCGTTTCGTTTCGGTAAAAACCTCTCGTCAAAAGAATAAGTTGGGCAACATGTTACGTATATCCATGATATCTGAATATATACTTTTCGACGTTAAATAGCCAAAGTATCTCTTAGTAATACAATATGACCGCTTTTGAACATTAATATGCCAAGTTTTCAAATTTTCCTTTAATAAATACATAAATAAGTTGATTGAACAAAAATTTAATTTTTGATTATACACGATTCTATAAATAAATTTCATTTTTCATTAAAACTTTCGTAAAATGATCTACTTTAGAATATACTAGGGTTGGATCAGTCCTAGCAAAGACTGGTCCTGCGTCGGTCTTGGGACCGGTCTTCACGGTCTTCGGTCCGAGATCTGAGGACCGGTCCGGACCGGGACTGATCTTATATTATTAATATCCAGTAAAAATGAGCCAAATTTTCGTGCTCATGTACTTCTAGGGCACGGTTTTTGCCAAAACCGATTATCAGTTCGGTTTTTAACATTTTCGCAACGTTTTTTATTAAAAAAATGTGCGAAAACCTTTTTTTTTGTGAAATTATTAATAAAAAACGTTTTTGTAACGTTTCCTATTAATAAAATAATTAAAAAACGTGCAAAAACGTTTTTTTATTAAATTACTAATAAAAAACGCTGCAAAACGGTTACAGTATGATTTCTTGAATGCCTTTTTTCTGAATATATCTTTTCCCGAAGTCATTTGCCTGAATGCCAATTTTCCGAACTGAACATTTTCCTGAAATATACAATTTCCCGAATCCTTATTTCCCGAATCCAATTTCCTGAAGTCTAATTTCCCGAATCCTAAATCTCAATATCCTGAATCCCAATATCCCGAATTCAAATATCCTTAATTCTAATATTCCGAATCCTAATATTCCGAATGGACAATTTCTTGAATTATATAATAAACTGTATATTTTCGTATGATTTATAAATAAACTATATATAATAAATTTAAAAAACAAAGAACTATTGATAACTATAAGTTTTATTATTTAAATATATAGTATTATAAGCAGATATAATGTTAACAATTGTAAAAATTTTTTAAAGTACTGGTTATAAATGAAATTTATTAGAGATTTATTAATATAATTCAACTTTTTGTAATATTAAACTAACTGTATGTTAGGCGACATAAAGTTAAAAAATTGGTTCTCATATCCCGGCCGGGTCACCAGAACGGGAATCTTAAATTTTTATTTTTTTTTCGTTAACCAATCAAATTGCGCTAAACTATATCACATGATAAACTAAAATTTGTACGTAACACTATCTGCTATGTAAATGCCTAGCATACAATAAAAAAAAAAATTTTTTTTAAAAAAAACCACAATTATGAACTACATTGAAGTCTTTTCTTTCCCTTTCTTTTGTCACCCTGTTTCCATTTTAGACGCTTCTTTGAAGTAACAGTATTACCACTACACTCACTGCAACGTGGATGTTCACCTTTTTCTGCTTTATCAATGTTTGAATTCCCACATTCAATACAAATGTCCGGGTAGATACCAGTTGAAAAGTATGGCTTCTCCACTTGTGATGTACAGGACCATGAGTCATTAACAAAGACTCTTGAAAACAGTTCCTGGATAGGATCTTCTGTATTATCAATTCCACCATCATCAATAATTGTATCATTATCAGCCTCTTCATCAATATCCGAGTCTGTATTTTCATTAGAATCTTCCTCTTGCATATTTTCTTGATCATCAACTCCATTATCATCCTCTATAACATCATGTATATCTGGTTGTTTTGGTGGTACAGCAATAGATAAATCGCACGTATTATGAAATGACATTCCGCAAGTATAGAAAATCGTATCCAAGAATTCTTGCAACAATATCCTATCCTTTTCAGATAATTTCTTTGCACTGAATAAAAGACGTGGCTTCTCACATTCAACACAATTTACAACTACACCAACGTTTTTTGCACGTGCAGCAGAAGGACAAAATGGCATAGTATGCTTTCCTTTTGTAATTTTTTTTTCACCCTTCGCTTTAGTCTTCACATTTTTAAGTGAGGGCCTGTAATTTTCAGTTGTTTGTTTACCATATAATTCCTCAAATGATTTATAATGTAAATCTTCACCAGGTACTGGATCCGGAAGACAATGAAGTTGCACAAAATCTTCTGGTAGACAACGAGGAGGGCGGCAGATAGTACAATTTGGTTCACCACATTTCTTAATTGAAAAAAAGTAGTGGCGCATTGTACAACAATGGTCTAAAAATTCTTGCAAATGTGGCTTAAAGCAAAAGTATGTTAGACAGTTTTTTTCACAAATAATTTTAATTGTTATTAATATTTTTACTTACTCTTCGTTTTATATGTTCTGTAGTACGATCTTCATAAGTAACATTTTCATCAATAAGCCAAATTGCTTCCCAAAATCTCTCCATTTCTGTTTCTGTTGCCGCATCAAACGTTTTAAAAGGCTCATCTTTGAGAGATTGCCGGTTGAATACATCACGAACTAAATTAATTGGTGTTTGAAAGCTTGCAATAACATCTTCTTTTAAGGTAGGATTTTCTTCAGCAATTTTGCGGATATCATTCATTGTACCAACTTTACTCATTAATTCCTCAGATTGACCACTCATTTTAGCTCGCATTAATCCAACACTTTGCAATCCTAAGTTTAACATTGACATAATACGTTCAACAGGATTTTTTCATGAATGTTGTGGTGGAGTTCGAACAGCAACAAAATAATCAAGGTCTAATGCAATAAAAAGGCAAATATAAGAAAGTTGAACACAAGCATATGTACAGCGATGGTCTGGTCCACCATCTGTATAGAGGCATAGCACAGGTTTATCAAAGAGCTTTTCTTTAAGAAATATATGGTAAAGTTCTGTTGCATGTCGGAGAGGTGATGAAGGCTGAAATATTGGATCTTTTAACCCAATATGTACTTTTCCCCTGTAAAAATTACCATTAATAGATTCGGGTATATCACATATCATAGCTACACTTGGTATGATTCCTGTTTTGGTGAAATCATGATCTGCTACTGCAAATGTAGTATCTTTACCAACAACTACACTTTTCCCTCTTTCTACAGCAGCAACAGGAAAGCCTGGTTCACCAACTTTGCAACGATGTTTATCATCTAAAAAAATAAGATTTGCAATATTGCGAAACTTCACAGCAAATTCTTTTTCATAACGAAAAAGTGCTGATGCATAATGAACATCTGGGTGGTAAGCTCGTAACTGGTGTGTTTGAATCATAAATTTTAAAGGTAAGCGACTAGTAAATTGTAAACTACTTAATCTTGCTGGATTCTTAGGCCAAAACTGCAATCGTAACCATTGAGCGCTAGGAATTAATGTTCCAGGTGGACACTCACGTTCAATTTGAGTTAAAAGGTTATTCACTGAAATTGCAGTTGCAAGATGTACAATAGTATCATGCCTTCACTCATCTGTAGCAGTAACAGCATCCGCTGCTTTTTCCGCAAGAAATTGAGCTGCAACTTCCCAAAAGATATCATATTTAGTAGGTTGTCCATCATTATGTTCTCGTAAATCAATAGCAACTTCTGAATCTCCAAGTTCTAAAGCAAGTTTAACACGCGCATCAACTTTTGCTTCATTTGCAGTCTCAGCTGCAGAAATATCCCCTGTTAGCATTTGATAAATTGTCCGAAGTGCTGATGGTTTGGCTTTTGGCAAGAGCAGGTCACAAGTGCGTAGATAATTCATCCTCATTGTTCGTGTATGATAACGAGGTGCATCAGCTTGTAATTCAGTTATTATTCGTGTATGTTCTTGTAATATTATACTTTCATTAGCATCTTCATCAATTTTCCAAATTGATATCATATTAAAAGTGTTATTTCCTGAGTTAAATCGATATTCTCCAATAGTGAAAGAAAATGCACAAGATAAGCCCTGAATAAAACGCAATCTTTGTCTAAAATATAGTTTTTCATTAGAATTTTTATTATAAACAGGCCCAAATATATTATATTTTTGCATACTTACACAGGATCAATTGGCAAGTATTCTTCTATATCAATATGTTTCCATAGTGACGAATTGACAAGCACTTGTTCAAGATGATAATATTTGGATTTATCAAGAGGTGTAATCCAGGTATTTCGCTTGTGAATTTTAATTGTTGTAGCTTGATCAATGGATCATATAGGTGATTCTGATGCATGATTAATAGCAGTAATATTGCGATGCTGTTGTAAATACTTAGTATAACCTGAGATAGCAATGATAAAATCATCAAATGCATCATGGAGCCAATTAAAATTCGTCATTAACATCCATGATGATGTGCTATATGGAGCAAGGGCTTGGCAATGTAAGTTTAATTCATTAGCATCAAAGAGTTTTCGTGATTGCTTATATGATTCTGGATTTGCATGATCAAAAAACTCAAGAAAGAGGTCAGGTATATAATAACTACGCTCTTCAAATTTTTTGTGATTGCGCATATCTATATACCAAATAGTTTCAGTTAAGCTAATAATAAACTCCTTTCCTCGTGTGTCAGCATATGATTGAGTAGACCATTCTCCACCGTGATTTTGAATCCAATTAACAAGATCATTGCGCAGTGTTTGCTTACGATTTATCTTATTTGATTGTGAGATAATTGGAAAATATAACTGGGATTTTCGTTCATTTTGCATCAATATTGTGAAGCTGTTCAGTGGTCCTGTAGTGGAAATTGTTTCATCAGGTTTGAGTCGATAATGCATATGTATCCCCACACTTTTTGTAGGTTCTACAATATTACAGCTGGGGCTAACTTGGGTTGCAATAGCAGTTGGTGTCTCACTTAACTCAACGCGTTCTATTTCTTCAGAATTTGCTAAAGCTATATTACATTCAGGAGATAGTTCTTTATTAACAAGTTTTATGAAAAAATCTTTTACTGACATTTCATAAGGAATAGGATGGATATACCATCCGTGGAGTGTTTTCTTTCCTTTAGAGATACGAATATTCACAAAAGGCATGTTCATGAAAAAGTTTGTAAAAGATTGAAGTGTGTGTTCTTAACGCGTTAATTTTAAATACATGATGTGCAAATTTTATTAGTGGTGCAGTAAAAAAAGGAAAGCCGATTGTCAATTTTCTAATATAATAATAAATATACGTGAGAGACATATTGCTTTATAATGTTAAATTCAATTTAAAAATTTTCACAAAAAATTTCTTCGTCCTTATATAATATTTTATAAAATAATTTCCCACGCCAAGTCCATACCGATTAATAATATTTAACTATAAACTGTTAGTAACATGAAAAATAAACTTGTAATTAACTTGATATATAAATCTGTCTATGACTTTTTATTAAATTAACTATATTAATATAAATGTTTACATATGAAATCTTCCGTATTACATGATCGGATGAAAAAAAAAATTTTTTTCTAAAAAAAAATAAAAAGCCGTGCGGCCAGGTTAAATCAAAGCAAATTTTGATATGAGAACCAATTTTTTAACTTTATATTGCCATACTAAACATTTATTAATTTCGCATTATGAATAGAAAAATTACTAAATGAACAACTTTATCTATATAAAAACACAAAATTTTACACTAATTTATTACTTTTACATACTATGAATAATTATCTAGTATAGTTAAAATTTCCACACATCAATTTGTTGCAATAGAAAGCATTAAAAATATTCCTTTATTATATCAAGTGTTTTGACTACATCAACTCTGTTAGCTTTAGGTGCATGACTATGTTCTTTAGTACTTATCAATATGTGTTCCTCACCCTCTAAGTCAGTTATGGCTCTTCCACTGCAGCTATACTTTTTTCTGAACTCACAAGACCAATAATATCTTTGGTTTATATTTTTTTTCTTTTGTATACAAATATCCATATACATTGATTTTGGATTACATTATTTATTTTAAGTATTTGTTTTAATACAAGTTAGTTTATTACATATTATTATATTTATATACATTATATATAATTTATTGATTAGTATACTAAACAAAATAAAGGTTGAGTTTATGAAATTAATAATTCTAATTTATGATGTAAAATTATATAAAATAATATTAAATTCAGTAAAATGTCTATTCAGAATATCAGGGTTCATGATATTGGAATTTGGGATAAAATAATTCAGGATAAAAGAATTTGGGAAATTGGATGTTTCATATAATTCCAGAAATTAAGATTCGGGCAATTGGCATTCGGTAAAATAGAGTTTCAGGAAATGATCAATTTCTGGAAATAGGCATTCAGAAAATTGGATTCAGGAAAGGTATATTCAGGAAAATGGTATTCAGAAAATGGTCTGACAAGGCTGCAAAACGTATAAAAATGTTTTCGCAACGTTGTTTGTTAAAATAATTAACAACGTTTGCGAAAAATGTTTTTTTTTATGAACTTATTAATAAAAAACGTTTTCACAACGTTTTCTATTAAAATAATTAAAAAACGTTGCGAAACATTTTTTATTTGTTAAATTACATATTAAAAAATGTTTCGCAACGTTCTTTAATGTTTTAGAGGTCTTAAAATCATGGGGACAAATTTCTTGAATTTAAATCGGTTCGGTCCCGGTCCAGTCCGGTCCAGGTTGAAAGACCGGTCTTTTTGGGACTGGACCGAACCGGACTGGACTGATCCAACCCTAGAATATACCATTTTAATTTTAGAACAAAAATTACTTTCTTTTTGATATTTCGACACAGTAATCGTACAACATTTGTTTTTGTTACACGAATACTGGAATTCAGAATCTGGATGCATAAATAAAGCTTTTCCATATTTAAATAATTTTCTTTCCGATATTTTGACTTATTCCGTTATCTTGCTATTATAAAGTCTATTATTTTTATTTTTTTTGAATAATTTATCAATCCATGGGTTGGACAAGAAATTGTGAGGAATGTAATCAAGAAAAGACTCATGGATGGTGTAAAGCATGTAATGCAAAACATTTTCAACAAAATTTTAAAAATTGGACTAGCAATTTATTCAAGACACTCAATTATCAGCAACTCATTGGTCGGAAGTATTAGAGTGGATACCTTACAATAAATTTTATGATATTGAATATATTGCAAAAGGCGGTTTTGGAAAAGTGTATAGAGCAAAATGGATTGATGGATATATTGATAAATGGGATAATGAAAATCAAAATTGGAAACGAAATAATTCAAATATGTTTGTAGCACTGAAAAGTTTAAATAATTCAGAAAATGTAACACCTGAATTTATCAATGAGGTATACTAAATTATTTATTATTTAATTTAGATGTAATTTTTACTAATGTGCTTTTAAAAAAAATGTATATTTAGATTAAATTACACTATAAAATGGGCTATGAAACATATGTTGTTATAGCTTATGGAATAACTCAAGATCCAGAAACAAAAAATTATATGATGGTTTTGGAATATGCGAAAGATGGAAGTTTACGAAATTACTTAAATATAAATTACAGTAGATTAAATTGGAATGATAAGATTGAATATTTATTAAATATTGCAAATTGACTTCAGACAATTCACAAAAACGAACTGACTCATAGAGATTTACATATTGTCAATGTATTAATGTCTGATATTGCTATTATAAGGCTGTTGCAACCTAATTGTTTGTTTAACGTCCAGGCCTTTTGAAAAAATTAAGGGGGGAGGGGGGCTTAAGTTAAACAAACTAAATAAATAAACATAGGAAAATTTGAAAATTTCAGAAGGGATTATTTATCATTATATGTTTATTAGCTTTTAAATTTTTTCAAAAATAGAGGGGGTATTTAATAATAAGTGTTTATTAGATCTCAAATTTTTAAAAAAATAGAGGGGGGTGGTGGACGTTAAACAAATAATCAAGTTGGAACGGCCTAACTGATATGGGGTTATGTAAACCTGCAGATTATAAAGAATCAGAAAGTGCAAAAAACAAAATATATGGTGTTTTACCTTATATTGCCCCTGAAATTTTAAGAGGACAAAATTATACTAAAATTTCTGATATTAATAGTTTTGGTATAATTATGTATGAAGTAATTTCTGGGTTACCTCCATATCATGATGTAAGCCATAATATAAATTTATCAATAAAAATTTGTCAAGGACTTAGGCCAAGGTTTAACATTAAAGTACCACAATTGATTGTACATTTAATTAAAAAATGCTTAGATGCAAATCCGTTAATTCGACCAACAGTAAATGAAATTAAAGAAATTTTAGATAAATGGAGATATTATGAAAATAAATCAGAAATAGGAGAACAAATTAAAGAAGCAGATGAAATTAATGATAGTTTACCAACTAGCATATACCTTCAACGAATTTAGGATTAACATATGAAACACATTCTGAAGCTGTTTATACAAGTAGATTACTTAATTTTGATAAACTTCCCGAACCAAAAAATTCTGATGATTATTATGATGAACGAAATGATAATATAATTAGTGAAAATTTTTCAGGTAAATAATAATTTGCGAATAACTAAATTAATTGTAAAAATACTAACGTATTTTACTTCATCAAGTAGAATCTCTACAAATTAATAATATTTCACAATTGAAAATTAGTGATGCAGATACTGAATTAGTCAATCCGATCAAATAATCAAATTTTCTTGTATTAATTCTTTAAAATTTGTATTGATTTGTAATATAGTAAATGAATTAAATTAATGCACAACAAATAACAATAGACTTTAATTATAATGAATGTTTTTCTTTTTGTACGTACAAGAACAATGCACTCGTAAATGCAACGCGAAAGTAATTCAAATTTATAATGTTATCGTTTATTTATTAAATTTTATGTGGAAATAAGTACTCCATAAAATTTTCCATTTTTCAAAAAGAAAAATAATAACTAACAGCACAAAAACCTAAGTTTTCGTGTCTCTTGGCTATCCCTATAAAAAATTTTTAAAAAAATTGATCACATATCGGAGTTTTTTTGGAAAAAAATGATCATTTATCGGAACTTTTCCCAAATTTTTTATAGGGTATATATGTAGAGTTCATATTTTGTGACGATTTTTTATATAATTTATAGATATAATTCAAAGAAAAACATTATTATAAATAAAAGAAGATTTATATTTTAGATTAAAAGTTTTAAAAATAAGGTAATTTAAGAATATATAAATATTTAATATAAACCAAATATACTACCCAATGAGTTTGTTTTATTATACAGAATACTTACAAATTATATTTCTCAACTTGAAAATCGATGATGCAGGTACGTATAGTGTAAATAAATTTATATAATTTTATTTTTTTCATGAAAAGAATTTTGTGAATAAGAAATGATAGTAAAATTATGTTATTTATTAAGATAGCAATCTTTATCATTAGGGTATTTTTCTTATCATATATTTGTGTGTTTAAATAATATTATTATATTTATTCATTTTATATATTGCATAATTAAATTATTTTGAATGATTTTAAATTAAACATGAATGATTTATTTCTTTATGAATAAAAATTTAATACAAATACATAGAGTTAACGTATTACAATTCGGAAAATAAGAATGAGAATATTAAGTCATAAAGAATAGTAATCATCAATCGTCAAATCCGGTCAAATAATCTATTATAATTACTAAATAAATTCATAATAATTGATAATATTTATTGACTTAAATAATTAATTTTCTTTCTTTTATAACAAAAAAAATAAGCATTGCGTAATTCAATTTAGAAGTATTACAAAAGAATCCTACTATAAAAAGTATTAATAAGAGAGGATACAAAAAAAAACATTTTTGTGATCCATTTATGCGACTTCATATTTTATAATGATTTTCATAATCTATTATACAGTATACTGTATCTATATTGTTTTATAATACTTAATATCTCCAAGGAATGTTATTGAAATCATCTTTTTTTATCAAAATATCAAATACTAACTTTGTGCCTTTCTTTCCTTCCTACTTTTTATTGTCAAACACTACCCATAAAATATATTCATTGCCACGCCGTCCACATGTACTTTTTTTACTTAAGGTACGATAACTTGAAGTTCTATCATAAAATAGTTTTTATTTAGTTCACCGCCAAACTCATTACTGAGTCTTAATTACAATTGATCTCATGTTGTACATTATGTTGTTAATAATTTGCGCTTATTAGAGTTCACATTATAACCTATTTGAGTCTAACTGAAAAGTCCTTTTGAATCTGCAATTCCTATTAATAAATATTTTCAATAAAAAACAGTATATTATTGTATTGTAAATGTTCATCAACAAAACAAATAAAAGCAAATTCATCCAGACTATCCATTAAATTATAAGTAAATGAAACAAGTGAATATCTTACAGTATAGAGAAAATAAATTTATAAGTCTGAATAGCCAAATCTAAAGTTTATATAATACAAACTGCCAACGTTCTATTTGTGAAGAAAAAAAAGTACATTATAATATATAATCAAGAAGAAAAAATTTTATTCTTTGCAAAAAAAGACATACGGTACTTTAATAAAAAAGAACATATAAAAATATTCCTGTTATAATTATTCAATTCTTAGAAAATTTATATGGCTGTGAATGATGTGAATAACTGAATTACATACCGATTTTTAAGAGTATATTTTCGTACATGTATATAAATAAATACAAAAAGCAGTTATTTGCTCATATCAATAAATTTAAATTAAACATTTTAAATCTAAATATACTAAACTTTGTAATATATTGATAAAATAATATATAAGTGAATTATAAAATAACAATATTAAAATATTATGTAATTTATTTATTTAGATGATAATAGAAATGCCACAAATTCGGTTTACAATTTTCTTTTTTTAAAGAATTTTCTCTTGGCGTAGAAGTCATATATTTATCGATAAATAAAATTATCCTTTTACTAAAAATAAATAAATAGAAATTTAATAAAATAACTTAGTTATTATTTTAATAAAACTTTAGTCATTAACTGGGTTACAACAAAGTTTTAAATACCCTCATGATTGCTATACTAGCAATATAATATTCTAAAACAACTTTGACCGACTCACCATATTGTCAGGCGAAATTTGACGATAGCAATCAAATTCCAAGAAAATTATTAAACTATAAAATACTAAAAACCAAAATTCTAGATACTTTGTATTTGATACAATATTTTTTTTTAGTTTTTGTCCTTACAATTAATACTTCCTTGCAGCTAATTTTGAATAATATTGAAAATTTATTAAATCAATATATCTTAAATAAAAAATCAATGAAGCGGTAGAAAAATACTAGTTGTTATTAAAATATTAAGATTTATTTTTTTTTTATTATATTTATTTAAGATATGAAAATATTAATTTCCTGGTTTAATTATACAGTGCAAATAGTCATAAGAGTAGATTTAGATTTTAAGGAAGATTTCATATCAACCAAAATTCAATTGTTACCAACTTTCTTTCTTAATCCTCAACAAACATGTTTTAAAGGTAATCAAAAATAAATTATTAATATAATATCCAAATCAAAGATTTATAAATTTTTCACTAACTGTATCAGTCTACCAAATATTAACGCCACGAATTTCAGTATCAGTCATAGGTCTTTTAGTTTCGTCACTAATTAGCCATCACGAGTTATCACAGCAATGGCCGATATCAACATATCATTTGGAAAAGATTTTTCTAGTGGTGTATTTTCATTTCTTGTCCAGTGATTCGAAATTTTGCGTTTTGAATTAACATCTGATTTATGGGACATAATGTCGTAAGAAAGGAGAAATAAATTGAAAAATGATAAAATATGAACATGTTAATAAGTTACATTAACTATTTTTACAGTCTCATCGACTGTTGCTTCTGGCGTTCTGCTTTTTCATCATCAATGAACTATTAAATATTCCGTCATTGTATAAGATTATTAATAATTTGAAATAATTTAATTAGTAAATTGATTAAACTATGCAGAGGAATCACATTTTTTTATTTACCTTTGTTAAGATATAATTTACCCCAATAACTTTTCGTTGAAAAGTTCATGATTAGCTATGATAAAACACGTAAGCAATGACATGAAAATCTTGATTTAATACTATTCCCTTTCCGAAACTCCTAAATCTTTGATATCCGTTAGTATATGAATCAGCAAACTTTCTTAACATATAAATATTTTGTTGAAGCTGTTAAAATCTTTTCATTATATTCAATTCTATTTATAAATATAGTAGTCAATTGGATTTCAATTATGTCACCATATGAATTCTTTCGAAATTTTTTTTTGAAATTTCCACGATGTCAAATTAATTGAGGCAAATTTTCAATGGGAAAGAGACCATTGACACGAGTAAAATATTTGTAATAATACTCTGCCACACAAATTACTAGTACGATACCAATCAAAATTATTGAATAATTTTGATAATCGAGAAATCATAATTAATAATTTATTATCTGTTATCATTATTGTCTTCTTTCAGTTGTGATACAGCCAGAACTTGAAAAATGATGACTGTATTTATTATTATCATAAGTTTCCATTCCTCATCATTGAGGAATAAATTACCGAATTTAACCGAGTTTTCGCTTAATTTATGTTACCGATTTTAGTGGACAAAATTAAGCGTTTATTGTGATCTACCGATCACGAGATATAGCTTTCATATTAAATGTGCATATGAAGTTATGCCTCTTGGTGGCTAATTTTTTTATATTTATAGCTAGAGGTCTGCAAAATTTGTTTCACGTATTATGTGGCGATTCATTATAAGTAATTGGTTTTAAAAAAATATTATGTTGCGATTCATGATAGGTAATTATTAAAAAAGAATGCCTCATTGTTATAGATAAAATTAATGATCAATCTTAAATTCAGAATCTCCTGTAAAAAGTAAAATTTAAAATTTATCAGATCATTCCATATAATAAATTAAAACCGGTAGCTAAAGATTATAAGGAAACACAATCATAGAGAAGCAGTTAATAAACATTGACAATCATCATAACATTTAATTCTTAGAAAGGAATGTTAAACCGACATAATAATAAATTAGAATATTTTATTATAAGTAGCGTTTGTATCAATTTGTGTGACACAGCGAACTTATATGTACATTACGTAAAGATTCAAAATATAGTGGTCTCCTGAAGAAAAAGTTAACTGATTGTCAAAGTTTAGTAATTTTACAATAAACACATGATTTTTAACTAATGTTTCGTCAAATTTATTCCAAATTGTAATAAAATTTATTCCTTCATTTTTATCATTAACATATCATTATGATCGACTGTCACACGTTTGTTATTTTTTATTGACAACCGATTCATTACCGAAATAATGTAAACATGCCGATCTCATCTGATCCGTTTGATCCGTTTTAGGAGCAAGCAGTATTATAGGGAATAAATGAACCCATTTAGTTTAACCATCGGATTTCGCTCAACAAAACGCCATGGATGATCTATTTTTTTTTCTGGACACGATCTTCCCGGATTAATAAAATTCCTTTTATTTAATTTTAGTTTACCAGAATCTATAATGGGTCCTGGAATAACTCTGGCATGTTCAAAAATGAATGAAAACAAAGGCTTATTATAGTCACGTTAATTATATTGTACTGCACAATGTAATATTTACTGATCATTCACATACAAATGAAATTTGTACGCCAATTTGAGTTTCAATTTACTTTGAAACAAAATAAAATTATGTTTTAAAGGGATTAGCAAAAAAATATTAATTAAGATATGTTAGTAATATAGTCACATGGTCGTTTGACGGCCAAAAATAGCTAAGCTATACCAAATACCTGATGGTTGACCGGAATTACGTTTCTTTAAATACGGTAAGTATGTAATTCTACACCGGTTTCTTCCGTTTTATAACATTGAAATTATGTTAATCTTATCCATAAATTCAATTCTCATGAGAAAATCATGATAACTATTTTTTACAAATTGTTTAATTAAAAGACTATTAATAATATGAACTATGAAAACAATGTTATTTAATGGTTTAGGTCTATTAGGATCATATGCTACGCAATTATTATTTTCTAACGTATTACAACTCAAAAAAAAGTTAAAGATCGTAAAATCTGTGTCATTTATTGTAAAAGTGATACGTCTAGTCTCTAAAATTTTTATATTATATGTAAAAAAAAAATAATAAGAAGTTTTGTATTAAATTATGTATGAAAAAATTGTCTAAAACTGGAGAGAATCATAATTAAATAAGTTTAAGATTTATAAATAACGTTAAAATAGGAAATAAAATAAATAAAATACAATTACAATGTTATGAATACTATTGATTATTCTCTGGTCTGATATTATTGGTTATTGTTGTTGTCGTCGGCTATTTCCGAAATTTCTGAAACATCTCTTTATTGTTTTCCATTTTATTATACCAATTACTCCCACAATGAACGAAAGGACACCAAAAACAATACCAATCTTATCCGAAGTACTAAGACCAGAATCAGTACCAATACCATTAGGGTTAGTATTATTACTAGGGACGGTAAAGTCACATACTTCTGATTTATAAAGCAAAGGAGCTTTTAGACGGCCATCATCGGTAATTTCTTTGCCAGTGCTAATATCATAAAGTCAACAACTTCCTGATCCAAATAAATCATCACAACTCAACCCTGTTTTTGAGTGCTGATTAGGGAGGGATTTACAATTATTCAATACGGTAGTCGAATTACAAGCATGAGCACAATTCACAGGTAGTCTGATACATTGTTTACGTTCATCACAGCAAGTACATGATTGACAAGAGTCTCCTAAGTTACTAGTTCGATTAACTATCCAGTTAAGTTCTCCATCTAAGTCAGGACCATGAATTGTGGAATTAGTTGAAACACAAATATGTTTGCTTATATTTTTTTCATTACCGCAAAATTCTCTAGCTAAAGTATTATTCCATTCTTTAATATCAGGCTGACTACCCCTTTCACAGGCACCTGCATTAATAATCGCGCGACACATAACCAAAATTGAAGGATAATAACAAGTGTCGTGATTAAAACAGCCAGCATCACCACAACACAATTTTTTATCTATAGAGAGATTACTTTGAAGTTTGTCCTTATAAATCTGCTCACATAAATTACTCATATTACTATTTACTTTTAAATCGACTTAGACTTTACTAATTTTATAAATATTTTAGATTAGTTGGCTGGGTTTCGTTTCGTTTTAATATTTTATAGAGGAAATGCGGGACGTAGTGTTCTGGTATTGGTTGGTATATTATATTATCACGTACAACTTAATAAAAATATAAGTAGGTAGGTAATAGCCAGTAGGTATATATTTATTAAAAATTCATGTATTTATTTATTTATTTATTTATTTATTTTTTTTGGCGAAAATTTGTCATATATATATATACTACTCATTTTTAAAAATATTTGCATGATAGAATATTCCATAATAAGATTCAAATTTTAGACATTTTAGAATATTAATTTCCAGATAAAATGAAAAAAAAATACAATAGTCTATAAAATTCTTAGTATATCATAATAAGAATCACATTTACTATATTCGCTCTAGTTTTAAAATGAAATAAAAGATAAATATTTGCAACGAATATCGAAACTTACTAAATAAATAGAATATATACAAATATCTGAATTTCCAATTATGGTAATTCAATCATTTAAGATAATCACTTGTTTACTGCAATGAATAGAAAGAAAAATGTTTTCGACCCATACCTAAGATTTAGCAACTCTAAAAGATTTTATTCAAAATTCGACTTCATAAAACGGCCAAATCATTTTAAGAAAAACTTATTTCAGGATATCCAAAAGAAAAGTAAAAATTCTTATTATAATACATACATTATTAGTTAACGTAATATAGTAAAGGATGTAGAGATTAAAAATTGAAGTTTATTTATATTTTGTTGTCTAATATATTATTTAAACCTATTAACAATTTTTATTTACAAGTCTATCGGAAGGCCTTATCGGACCATTTTCTGAATACAATTTTCCTGAATATACCTTTTCCTGAAGTTTATTACCTGAATGTGAATCTTCCAAAACATGTGGCAATAAAATGTATTTTTTAGTTTATTACATAATAGTTTATAAATCATGACATAAAAAGAAAAACATTATTACAAAACCACTAATCGGGATTTGGCTAATTTATCAAAATTAATTTGTACTTTGGGACTTTGAGAGAAAAATTTCTCGGTATAATTTAATTAGAGAATTCCGAAAAATCTTGTGAAATATTGCTTAACTTTATTTGACTAAGGTCATTGAAAAAAAATATAAGTAATAAAAAATCTATTCTTCAAAAAAAATTTTTTTTTTTTTTTTCTATTAAAATGTTTATTGAAAATTCATTGGAAAAAAAATTTTTCTTTATTAAAATGTCTATTGTCATGTCAATTCATAGAAGAACTATTATATTTACTTTTTTAATAAAAATAATTCATAGTATAATATTTTTTTTAGTAATTAACTAACAATTCTTCGTTTTCAATGGTTTACCGTATATGAGAAAATAAAATTGCAAATAATGGATTTGAATGAAAAATGAAGCCAATTAAATAAAGTTATCATTATACACACTTGTATCACTAATTATCGATTAAGAAATATCAATTTGTAAGGATTCTATCAAATAAAATTGAACTTATTAATAAGTGTTTTTTAAAATTAAAGAAAAACTGAATAGTTACACTTGTATAAATGGTATCAGGACATTTCGCCGAAAGTCATTTCACCGATTCCATTTCGCTGAATGGACGTTTCGCCGAAGCCATTTCGCCGAATGGATCTTTAAAGTGATCATATCATAGATGAAAGACACTTAAAATTTTTGTTTAAACGTTTATTTAAATTTTTATTTTTATTGCAAAAATAGGTGACGTGGCAAAAGAATGTAAAATAGAAACTAAAAAATGAAAATTTTAAAGTGCTCGATCAATAATCGAATTAACGTCTAAGTTTTATTATTACATTTATTATTTGTATATTCGAGTGTAAATCAGAATATCTATTAAGGTTCTTGATGTAATAAATAAATAAAAAAGAATCATTATTTTATTTTCATTGCGCGATTAATATTTTAATAAAAGTGATAATCTCTATCATTTCTATCATTTTCGGCGAAATGGCTTCGGTGAAATGGAATTCGGTGAAATGGCTTTCGGCGAAATGGTTTCGGCGAAACGTCCCTTCTGCGAAACGTCCCTTTGGCTAAAAAAATTACATATATAATATATTGAAGATAAAGTTTAAGTTAAAATTGTGTTTATATTTATTAATTTAAATAAAAATTTAATAATATTCTATTCCCATTTGCAACAATAACTGCTTCAATCCTGTGGAAATGATTTTTATAATATTCAGAAAAATATTTTTCTATGCATCCTTAATGTACTTTTCAAGTAGTTTTTTCATGAAATTTAATAGGACATAATAACATAATATTGCATAAGATTTATAAAGATTTATAGAATAGTATTATTTATGATTATGGGTTTTATACAAATGTAAATACTATCTAAGTCTTTGAAGTTTGTGTAGGGTTTGCATAGTTTAAAATTTAAAAATTGTGTTTTTTGGTATCTAGTGATTGGATTCTCATGATTCTAGATTCATTACATTCGTCTCATTGAAAGGATTCGAACGGTATTTGTGGGATCAATATTTAACATGTAATTACACTTTTAATTGTCTAGACATTTGAGTTTAGATATTCTCTATGATATCTTTTGTTGTAGTAATTGGATTTTCATAAATTTTTAGCTCATTAGATTCGTCTCATTAAGACAATTCAAATGGTGGTAAATTCAGCATGATCTGATTGATATTGATCGAATTATGGTATTTTAAATCTTTTAAATTTTTTGTTATGCAAATTGTAAAAATTTATGTAATAAATAGTTAAATATTTCCAAAAAATTCTGAAATGACACGGAGCAATTAAAGCATAAAAATTTGTTTATTGAATAATGTAATTATCAATACAAAATTATGTTTATTTTATATCGTGATAATCTGTATAGTTATTTTGGAAAAAAAAAGTGGTCAGATAATTTTGCCGACCTCTCACCTCTGTATATTATAAAAAAATATATATATTTTTTCAAAGATTGAAAATTCTGTCTTTGCGAAACCAATCTTTTAAAGAATTTTTCTATTTATATTATAGTAAAATTTGTTCTGCATGATAAGTTAAAATTGTAAAATCTTCAAAATTAATGTCGTGTTGCAATTGCGGTTATCTTATTTGCTTTTTTTTAACCATAAATTGTAGTTATTTTTACTATTATTGCTTTAATTACAATTTAAAAGATTTCTATATAAATCAATAATTCTCTGAACAACAGGTAAGGAAATATAATCAACCGAAGATTTTTATTCGTGAATTTGAAATATCTTTGCTAAACTAGTATTAAGCAAAAAATTTTTTTAGCTGCGTCCGACGACTGCGACGTACGGTTTCACAAATTGTAAATGATCGACCAATATAAATATGTTGTGTTATTTATACGAAGTTGATTTTTCATTCTATTGAGGCTTATGTTAAAATATTAAAAATTAGGCTATGTAACTATGAAAAAACAAGTTTATACAAATGTAAAAGCCATAAACTTCTAAAAATGTTTGTTTTTATAAACCTTTTTTTTTTCTAGTCATCTAATGTACTAAAAAAAAATTAATGTCTATCAAACTACAAAAAAAAAATAATAATAATAATAATTTGAATTTCCGATAAATAAATTTTTTTTTTTTTTATTCGGATAATCACAAAAAAAAAAGAAAAATTAGATTCAAAAAAATGAGAGGTGAAAAGAAATTTCTTTTTAAAAGGAGAATGAAATTGTTTGTCGTCAGTAGTATAGTTTTACTCGGATTATCTGTAATCCTTTGGTTTTTCGCATCTACCGAAATTATGATCATTGATGTTCCTGTGGAAGAAACTAAGCAAGGTTCTTTAAAAGAATCTAAAATTCCTTTAAAAGATACGATTAACGATAGACCAAAAAAATTACCTAATAATCATGATTCAAATTCAACACCTTCGTTACCAAATGGTCAATCAAATTCAAATTTAAATCCACAACCTGAAATAAATTCACAAAATTCAAATTCAATCCCCTCAGAATCACCAGAAAAGATAGCAGAGTCAACTCCTTCAAATTCTCAGTTTGAAGAATCACAACCTGAAACGACAAAACCAATAAAAATAAAAAATTACAAGACATTCAATTTGGTTCTTCGCAATGAAACAAAATCACCTGATGGATTCATTCGTAATATATATACAATAAATAATCAATTTCCGGGTCCAGAAATAATTGTTGATAAAGGAGATACGGTTAGAATTAATATAACAAACTATATTGGTCGTTCTACAACAATTCATGTTCATGGAATGATTCATAAGGAAACGGTTTACATGGATGGAGTTCCTTATGTCACTCAATGTCCGATTCAAAATGGAAGCAGTTTTATTTATGAATTCGAAGCTACACATCCTGGAACCTATTGGTAGTAAGTAAAATGTGATAATGAGGCGCAGAGTTTTTAATTTCCTATAACAATGTTCCTGACTTTTATTTTTTATTTTTTTAAGCTATTCACATTATGAAACACAACGTGCGGATGGACTATATGGTTCATTGATCGTGAAAGATCCGGATGAATCTCGATATTATAATTATGATGACGAAAAAACAATTTTTCTATCAGACTGGTATCATGATGAATCTTCGATTCTATTAAAGAATTATCGATATAATAATAACACATCAATTTTCGAGGTAACATAATGAATTTTTTAATTATCTAATACCAAATTAAGTTTTATTTTTTAATTAAATCATATAAATTTTTATTTTAGCCAATTCCTAATAGTGGGTTAATAAATGGTAAAGGAATTTTTAATTGTATGGACGACCCAATAAAGAAAGAAAATTGTAACTTTGAATCATTAAGTGTTGAAGAATTTTATATTGAACCTAACAAAAAAAATCGTCTTCGAATAATAAATACGAGGTAATTTCTAATACGTTTATTTAAGAATATTAATATTCAACATTTTCATTTTAACCATTAAAATACTACTACTTTTTAGTGCCATGACATCATTTTTTCTTTCAATTGATGAACATATGCTTCAAGTAATAGAAGTTGATGGTGTACCTACAACCCCCTCAAGTAAATTCCATCGCTTACCAATTCACGTAGGACAACGATATTCAATAATCCCAATTCGTCTCCCTCAATACACATCAACTTTAAATTTTTATCTACGCGCTGAATTCGCAAAGAAATCATTTCGTTCCACATCACCTTATTCTACGTCAAATTTATTTCCGACAGAACTTAGAGCAATAATTCGATATAGTAAAAAAGAAAATGATAAATCATTACCTTCGACATTATCTTGGACGTTACAACAATCTTCTTTGATGTTTCCTTTAATTGATTTAAATCCTCTTGATTTAAAATCATACTCTCAAGAAATTTTACCAGAAAATACGACTTATTATGAATTTGATTTTATTATTGAAAAAATTAATGAACAAAAAACTTTGAATTTTAATCATAAAGGTTTTAATGATGATATCGAACTTTTTTATGGATCAATTAATAGTGTACATAGGGGCGTATCTATTTATAATCCAGACAAGAGAACAAATACTTTGAAATTATTATTGGAAGGAAAAATAAAATTTTTTCCATTTTATTTGAATATTTATGTATTCAAAAGAAAATTAACTATTGATTTATTATTGAAAAGTAAGTATTATACTAATGACGTCACAAACATTTCTAATATAAAAAATTGAATTTTTTAAATCAAAAAGGTTTCTTATTCTTACTTTACTTTTTTAGATAATGATGATCTCGATCAAGTTTTTTATTTGGTAAATTATTTTAAATTCTGATAAGTTATCGATTGATTATTGATTTATTACATTAATCTAATTATTTATTTTGTAGCATGGTCATAAATTTTGGGTATTAGGACAAGGGACAAATTCAACGCCCATACATTCAGATTTAAACTATTTCAATCCGATCAAAAGAGATACAGTGACTGTTCCATCATCAGGGTAAAATCAAAAATGATAATTTTTATTCGTTAGTTTGATTAATTATCAAATAAATAATATTAAATTTCTATATGAATATTATTAGATGGACGCTTATAAAATTTACTCTTGATAATCCTGGGATATGGACATTTAGTAATCCTATAGTGGTAAGAGACGTCATAATATTTTTATAATTTATCAAAAAAATTTTTTTTTTTTTCACTCTATTTTTATTAACATATAGTAATTAATTCGATAAAAATAATATATTTTTTTTTTAGTGGCATCAAAATATTGGTATGATAGGTCAAATAATCGAATTACCTAAAAAACTCAAAAACTTTTCGATCCCTCCAATAGAATGGTGTAAATTATGTAATGATAAAAGTGATAAAAATAATTTTAAAGTATGTCAAAGGAATGATGATAGTGGTTTAATGGATGCAATCAAAAATATTTGGAATAATAATTAATAAATAAATAAAAAAAAAGTTTCTTTTTTTTTTGATTTACATATTAATGATATTTGTTAGTAATGATGTTTCTATACAATATTTCGCATTTCTCATTTTGATTATTACTATTCAGAATCTAAAAAAAAGTATTAATTGATCTTTATTTTTTAAAATTAAAGGTAATAGTCCAATACTCCAATGTATAGGTATTCGTCATTTACATTTTTGTTGTATAATGCCACGTGCGAAGCAAAAATACAGTATCATTCTTGATTTATAGAATACACTTTTAGATTTTTCATCATATCGAATTAATTCACTACAACTTTGTTCGTATAATTCTTTATTTATAAAGAATAAATTTGCAGTAAATAAACACAACCTCATCATGTGATCATCTGACATGAAACGCTTTTTAAGGCATGAAATAAAAGAATTTATCTAACTCACTTTTTAAAAAAAAATGTATGATGTAAAAAATTAAATCATGATAGATCTATGAAAGATATCGATATGCGAACGTTGAGTGCCGTGAATAAGGTTTTTATTTAAAGACGTTACGATCGAAATTTTATTATTATAACACTTTACATTAAAATATGTAGGATAAGATACTTTGAAAGAGACTGCGTATTATAACACTAATAAATTATTATAGTATTATCATCTCAAATTAAGTTGTGAGACATACAATATTACTAAGTAATTTATTACACTCTACAATAGATTTTTGAGTTGATCACAAAATTCTATGTAATTGTATGAATCGTAATTAAGTTCACCATTTAATTTTACTTTAAAAGATTTAAAAGAGAAAAATTAAAAATGAACTTAAATATGTCTAAAATAAAATCATGAATATAAGCACATTTGAACTTTCATTAAATGATTATGAAAGGTTATACAGTATACTAGAGATTTATGCCAATAAAAATGATGTTAATACATATTCAATTATTTTACTTGATAGATCAAAATATTTTCGTACAAGTTTTTCTTGATAAATAATCAAGAAAAAGGATGGTAAGATAATTTTAGAAAACAAAGCATATAGTATCTCCGTATGTACTCAAAAATTATCTTGATTTAAATCAAAAAAATGAACAAATAACAATTATTGGAAATTTGGATTTCTTGTTTAAAAAAAGTGTATGAATCCTAAAATTTTGACTAATGTTGTTAATTCCAAACTCCATGAGAAATTCTTTATTTAATAAAGTGATGTTTGACAAAACATCTTTCTATTACAAATGATGTAAATAATTGGACGCAAAGGGGAAATAGACATGATATAAAAATTCGTTCCGATTTCTTTTATATGGTTATACCATATAAAAAATTGTACCTAAATAAAATGTTAGAATCCGTATGAATTCAAATTATAAGAATTCATGAGGATTCATATGAGTTTATTATTTTCTTAGATCATATTAGTGAAGTAGGATGTAAGGATCATACTGATGTAGATTACTTAATTAAGAAATTTGAAAAATCTTTACATCATAATAGTTGGTTTACAGTAATTCACTTTAATAACTCGTTTGTTAACCTTAAATTGTCATTTTAAACTTCATTTTAAAATGATTGAATGAAAATATTGTATTATTCATTAAAAGATCATAAAGGAGTACGCATTTTTATAACTAATTTTATTTATTATAAATAAATTTTATTTTTACAGTATGGAAGAATTTCCTAAGGTAATTACTGTTATATTCATACTGTATATATAATGGTCATAAAGAACCTTAATTTTTTTTTTAAAAAAAATATAAATTATAAAAATAATTTTATTAAAAATGGTGAAAGCTGGTTTAAAAATCATTCTAGCTAAAATATACATTTGAAAAATAAGCTAAAAAATCTATGAATGTGTGACTGAAAAAATTGTAAAAAAAGAGCCATTATATAAGAAAAATTAAATGTCATTAACCAGAACTGTATTAGCTTGAAATTGGATGTGGGGTGTTGACCTTTTCTTTTATGGATAATTTATCAAAAGGTTGTTTGTCAGGGGTTGCTTTCCATTATTTTGAGAATCCTAATCTAGTCAGGAAACTATTTTCTTTTATAGATGCTTACTGGTATTATTATAATTTCGGCCCTGAAAGATATGCATAATAATTTTTATATGAGGCTTTCTGAAGTCAAAATTCGGACTTCCCCAGCGTAACCTGAAAAAAATGTCACGAAAAATCACGTGACATTTTTTTGTCACAACCGTCACACCCCACTGCGCTTCCATTTTCTATAAGTATCTGAGGGACTTAGTTTTTTTCGAGTAGGTAAAAACTTATTCATCACACATTATTAGTCACATGTGCGCCACACTTAATTTCAGTCAAGTTGCGTAATGCCGGCCATTTCGTGACATTTTTTTCAGGTTACGCTAGGGAAGTCCAAAATTCGTTACTGCGCCTCATTCTCGGTGCAAATTATAAAACATATTTTTCTTAAACATACAAGGTATCAAATGACAATTAGTTTTTCTTAATCATTAAGTTTCAATTTAGAAATTTTATTCATTAAATAAAAAATGTTCATATAAAGTCACACATGATCCTTATTTCAGTCTTGAATACTTTATTACTCATATGATATGCACTTATATGCATTATACCTCATTTTATAAATGACTCAAAGTTAAACAATGATTTCTATGTTTTTCATTCTTATTCATACACCAATATCTAAATGGTGTTGTACATTAGAAGCATTACATGTTCTAGATTAATAAAGGAAAAATGTGTAAATTACGATATATTGCAAATCACATTATAATATCAATATGTGCCATATTAATAATCTTTTTTTCTTTTTTTGATAAAAATAATTGACACTAAATGAGTAAGTCGATTATCATTACTAAATCAAGCTACTTCTTGTAATATTGACGCAAAATTATTGAAAAAATGCAATATTAACAAAGAAGATGTAATATCAATTCAGTATTATTAAAGATTATGTAAGAGCAAATCTTTTTATTTAAAAACCCACATATACATTAGACTGCTAAACTTTCTGCCAAAAAACATAATTAATGCATATTACTTTCTGCAATAAAAACATAATTATAATTAATTCATATTATTTACTTTTATTTAATCAACATGAGCACTTCTGAGTTGAAATACTTTGGCCAAGACAGTAAGTCTTGAATTTGACTTGTAATCTTATTTAGTTTATTTGCTAATCTTAAATTATTTATTAATCTTTAAATTCAGTTCTCATTGCTTATTTAAAAGAACGAAAAAGTAAATCCTACCGTGGGTTTTTAAATTTACACTATGATGACATGATCACTTCCTCATCATCATTCTCAGACTGGAAGAATATGGATAATTATTGGGCATTCAAATTTCTAAGAGAAGCAGAGAGCCTTGGGCTGGATTTAAAAAAAAAGGTATGTATTTTTTATTTTGCAAGGTTAGGATTACTTCTATGAGGATGTGTTCTGATTAGGAGAATTACTGTCTTGTTTGCTTGATAACCACCCATGTTGGTAAAGGTCTGTTAATTTTGGAGGAGAAATTAACTATGACCTTCTTTATTCTAAATAAAATGATGTCACACTACTAATATCTTATTTTATTTCTTGCAATAGGTAAAATCAGAGCGTTCAGAAAAATGGGTGAAAATATACTGGGAAGGAATTTTTAAAGAACATAAAAAGGTGAATGTAATATTACAAATTCTTGCACTATTGACAATGGTAATTGATTATATATTCACTAAAGCCATTTAATATATAACAACTTACAGTCAATTGGTATATCTAGTCCAGTTTTTAACACATTTAGTCCAGCTTCTACTAGTGAAGTCCATAATTTAAGAAAGAGGAAAACCATAGATTATAATGAAAATCAGATGACAAGAAAGAATGTAAATATTTTTAAATGCTTTTTAAATGTTTTTGCACATAAAATTTATGTGAAATGATTTGACAGAAGGCTTTTACAATTAATATCTTTTCATTTTTTAATAATTTTTAATTCAGATAAGAAGACAATTCATCCAATCTGCAGATGATAAAGTCATCCAGTCTATTCAATCTAAAGCTGATCAATCCACTCTATATGCAAATGATGAAGAGTTTATCTATAATAATGAAAATGAGAATGAGCAAGAAATTGATAACTTAACCAATTTTGATCTTATTTATCATAGCTTAGACCCAGCAAAAATGTGGACTCTTAAATCTTCTGGTCGTATTGTTGAAAAAGTAATTTATAAATATGCACAAAATTTACCATATGAATCATGTTTACATTCCTTTATTATTAATGATGTTGATAAAGAAGCAGAATCTTTATTTCAAAAAGAAGAGTGGGAGGAAATATTTTCCTTTAACTTGCAAAAAGTACCAAAAATTGATAAATCACTTACTGATCTTATGAAAAAGTATTCTATTACTGACTTATCCTCATTTCAAAAAATCATTTTTGAACCTTTTTTACCTGCTAATACCTTATATTCCAATAAGGAACATTTTGATTTAAATTATATTCATCTTGCATACAGTATAATACACACACTTTGGGAAAATGAAGATTTCACTTTAGATTTATCAAGATTAGAAGAATGGTATCAATATAATATATGGAGTCCCCTTATTGATTCAGCATTTCATAATTCAAAGATCAATTTGGTATGGGGAGAAGGTATTAAATGCACAGCATCTAATGATAGAAAAAATAATAAAAGTTGTGATGGAATTTTTAGATTAAAAGGGGACAGATTAGAAATTGGAGGAATTGAAGCTGGGAGAAAATGGGAGGGAAAAAATGGAAGAAAATATCTTCAAGATTGTTTGAAATTAAGTAAAATGCTTAGAGATATGCTGGTACAACTTGTAAAAGAATGTAATGGTGATGAACAAATTATTAGAAAATTACAAACTGTTGGAATGTTACATAATGCTAATCAATTTCAACTTCTTACCATGGATATTCCAAATGGATATATATGTCGAATTAAATGTTTTGACATTCAGGAAGTTGCTGGCCAGATAAATAACCCTCCATTAGCATTTGTAATAAAAGATATATTAAGGGCAAAAGCCATTATGACACAAACATTAGAATTAGTACAAGAAAAGAAATCCAATCTTGATGATCTTGATGACTTTGATAATGATGGAAATGAAGTTAATAGATCAGAACAATATACAACTTATTAAACAATTACTTTCATATTTTAAATCATTACAAATTTTAATATAATACATGAATGCTCATTTTGCTATGTTAATATAGTAACTATCTTATTAAATTTAAATATCATTAACAACAAAATTATTTCTATAATATGAATTAATATAGTATCATTTATATTGTAGTGTACATTTTTTCAAGTAAATCATCAAAAGTATTGCAGTATAAATAATGGTAATTCTTAAATTAGTTACATTTTTGACTAAGAAAGTTGAAAAATTCTTTACATCAGTTGCAGTAAATATCATAAATATCATAGTTGATTTACAGTAATTCACTTTGAGTATTAATGCCCAGTAAAAAGTTATTGTTGGATTTTCGTAGAAAAAATGTAATGTTACAATTTTAGTACAATTATGAGCATCCATTCGTACAATATTTGTAATTAATTTGTAATAAACTTGTAAGGTTTTCATAATAAATTTGTTATAAACTTGTAAATTTGTATTATTTGTATTTTAAAATTCGCATAATAGGTATTATTTATTGCAAGTTAGTTACATTTTTATTTTACCATAATGAATTTCTATTTAATTTAAAAATATTACTAAAAAGAAATCTCAAATTCGAATATCCTAAAGAAAAAAATGAGAATATGTAAATATACACTATGATGATACAGTACATTAATATTATAATTAAAATTAAGTAGAATAAAGTACTTATATTTATTTATTATTGTAATGTGTTTAAATGCTTAAAATTATTCATGTTGCTTTGTATTTGCGAGCGGGAAATTTACTGATGAAAAGGAGTCTTTACCAGTTTTTTGGTCTTGTGCATTAAAATAAAGCTAATTTTTCAATAAAATGTTTCGGTGCAAAATGTCAATACATAAAAGTGTTAGCTAAATTGGTAATATTACACACAAGTCAACAATCAAGTCATATGAACATAAAATCATATAGAACTGAAGGTAAATAAATAGGTTTATCTTCAATTTTATTAACATATCTTTTTTCCATGGATGACTTGTAATATGATTACATGACTAAAACTTCTTAACAAGCAATGAAAAGAAGATGATTGTTAACATTCATATTTTTATTAGATATTCAACAATACAGAAGACTTACCACTACACAAGGAGTTATAATGTTTAACAGCAACTCTAATAAACTCTAGCGAAATCATTTCCAATTCTCTTTTATTATAGAATCCATCAATTAAACCATCTTAATTGAGGGGAATAAAATGCGCCAATACTGCTGTTGCCTGGATAATGTTCCTGATGTTATTTTGAAATTCCAATATTGCAAGCAAATCATGTTGATTATCACAGTAATCTTATGGTAGAAATATTTAAAGACCTTTTGATAAACTCCGTGCTAATATTAAGGAGTGACATAACATGATGGCTCAGTATTACAACCTAAACAAAGTCAAATTCAGTTAATGTTTTGGAATATTCTAGCAAAGCAGAATTTATGAATTAATAAAATTAAACATACTAATTGTCTTTCATGTTTGTTAAAAAATATGAACAAAATTTGGTTTATACCCACTTTACCATTGCAAACTCCAATCAACTGATCAAAGAAACTTGGTCAGTTATAAAAGGTTAGTTGCTAGAACACTGTCTTAATTCTAATTCTTTTGCTTGTCATATACTTCTAAGGAAAGTCTACTAATGTGGATTATTTGGTGCTGAAATAATATAGAGATTTATGTGGTGATATATTATTAGTCAAAAAAGATTTCGATATGATTGATAATAATTAACAAAAATACATTAAAATAATAAAATTTACAAAATTTACATAAAAACCTGTCTTAATTTATAAGTAAACTATTTAGACATTTACCTTGATTTTTTAAGAAAATTTTATATTAACTATTCACCCATATCATGTTATATAAAAGAAGAAATTATGGAAGGAATGAAATGAGACATAAAAAAAATAGGTATGTAAAATATATAAAAAAAATATAGATAAAATGAGGAATAAAATCAAGACGCGTAAAAAAGGGAAATAAAGTCAAGAAGAGAGGAAAAATCAAGTGTAAAACAAAATTAAGACACGTAAAAAGAGAAATGTGTAAAAAGGAAATAATAAAATCAAAAAGAAAGGAAAAAATCAAATGTAAAATAAAATCAAGACGCGTAAAAAAAGGGGAATAAAATCAAGAAGAGAGGAATCAAGTGTAAAATAAAATTAAGACGCGTAAATGAGAGATGTGTAAAAAGGAAAGAATGGAACCAAGAAAAGAAAAATAAAATTTAAAATAAAATCAAGACGTGTAAAAAATCAAGAAGAGAGGAAAAAATCAAGTGTAATATAAAATTAAGACGCGTAAAAAGAGTAATGTATAAAAAGGAAATAACAAAACAAGAAGAGAGGAAAAATTCAAATGTAAAATAAAATCAAAACGCGTAAAAAGAGAATAAATAAATGTGTAAATAAAATAATAAAATTAAGATACGTAAAAAGAAAAATGTGTAAAAAAAGTGAGGAATAAATCAAGTAAAACTTAAAAAAGGGAAGAATAAAATCAAGACGCGCAGAAAAGAGAGGAAAATATCAAGATGCGTAAAAATAGGAGGAATAAATTAAGCCGTGTAAACAAGATATGTAAAAAAGGGAGGATACATACTTATAAAAGATAGAAACATGTAAAAAAGAGAAGAATAAGATGCATAAAATAGAAAGAGAAAGATATATAAGAAAGAAGATGCATAAAGTAAGGATAATTGAATTAATAATTAAGATGTGTAATAAAATATATCAAAAGAAGATGTGTAAAAAAATTTATTAAAAGTAAGCTAAGTATTCCAAGTTTACCGAATTTCAGAAATAAAGCACAAATTTCTAATGCTAAAATAAACCATACAATTTTCATTTATTAAATTTCATAAATTTTAATAAATCTTACAATAATTATACGTTTAATTTTACAAAAAAAACAAAAAGTATTTAAATTTAACAAATACTAAACGAAAGTTAGACAATTATTACAAAAACTAAACAAAAACTATATAAATTTTATACAATGACTTTTTACTGGGATGATGAACAATTTTAAGTTATATAATTCATTTGTTAACCCTAAATTGTCCTTTAAAATCTGAAAAGCTTTGTTTGCTGCAATATGTTTGTTTATGCAACTCAAAACCAAATACTGTAACATTACATTTAAATTATATTACACTATTGATGTAATTAAAAAGAGATGGGAATCTATATGTCCTATAATTACTATTAAATTATACAGTTTTGTCTATATCACCTGCTAGTCTGCTACTTTACTATTTTTTTTTTATTTTTTATCAGTCTATACCCTAGCTCTATGAAGAAATAACTAAAACTAGACTACTCTTTTCTAAACCAACACACTACCAACTTACTTCCTGCCAACCTTTTTAAGGCCCCATTTAGTAAAGCCTTACATGAATAGCAGGATCAACATTCTAAGTTTTCCAAAATACTAGATGTACCAAATGCTTCTTTAATTTTCGTTTTTTCTTTAGATAGCTAAGCCTTTGGATACATGAGATTTCAAACAGCTAATTTTTTAGATTCTTTCAGGTTTTCTGGCACTCAGCTTTCCCATAAGAATCTTTTAATTTTTTTTATTTCAACAAAACATTTAATTTTCTTTTTATCTTTAGGATGGCTAGTTTTAGGGTTTTTTTTGGATTTCCTTAACACTCATTTTTTTATTTTAATTTAGCTAATGTTTTATTTATTTTCTTTTTGTTGTGTCTTTCTTAGTAGATTCTTTCAAATTTTTCTTAGCATATAGCATTTTAAATTTTTTATTTAATTTTTTATTTTAACAAAATATTATTATTTATCACGTTGTTACATTTCACGTGGAACTGTGGAAGATGTAATCCAGCCTATCAAATTTGTAAATAAAAAAAATTTAATTCAAATATATATAAAAAAAAAGTATCAATATATAAGAAGTAGAGAATGATGGCGCAGCATTTCAGTTTTGCACTCTATTTACGTTACTTACAGTGTAACTAAGAGTTTCCTTTATGGTTAAATGAGAGAAAAAAATACTAATGTTTTGATATTTCACTTTTAGTTTGGATACCTTTTGATATGCAAAACTTTAGTAACAAGTATTTTACAAAAAATTGTAATATAAAAATATTTCTGATATATTATAAAAGTAGATTAATTTTTACTAGTGATATAATTTCAGTTTATACTTTATATTGATAATATATCATTTAAAAATAGCTAAAAAAGATGAATATAGTTAAAAAAATGCATCATTAATAATATAGTTAAAAAAATGAATAGTCACATATAGTTTATTGCTGAAGCTGAAGTAAAACTTAAATTTTATCATTTTTATGTACAATTTTCTGATATACATTAACCCAAAATTCTTATAATTTTGATGGAATATATCAGAAATTATATCACTATTGACATACTGTACAATTCTAAAAATTTAACCTTTGATTCTGAATACAAAAGAGTGGCTTAAAATGCTCTTAGAAAGTGAGATCTGACTTACTCAAATCCTGGTAAATTTTCTTTCAAAATTCATCTGCCAGGTCTGGATCGGCACATAATTTTTCAGTAGATCAAGATAATTCTGGCCAAAATTAAGCTGGACAATTTTTTAGTCTGTATCTGTGTTAGGCTAGACTTTTAAGGTTAATTTTCAAGTGTGGGCTGTGCTGAGTTATAAAATATGAGTAAATGCCAACCTCAAAAATATATTGTAAATAACTAGGCAACTGAATATAAATAATTGTAAATAACTTATCAGGTAATATAAATGATTGCAATAAAATGTAACTAATTTAAGAATCACCATTATTTATACTGCAATATTTTTGTGAAAAAATATATATTAATTCACATTATAGAAATAAATTTGTTGTTAATGATATTAAAATCAATATTAACATAGAAAATGAGCATTCATATACTATATTAAATTTTTAATGATTTAAATATGAAAGCTATATTAATTTTTTGTAAACAAAAAATAGCTAAGATCTACTCTTAAATTATCTAAATGGAGTTTGTAAGTTTTACTTAAAGTGATTGCTTGAAAATTCGTGATGGAGTTTTGTGAGTTTCACTTAAAGTAATTGCTTGATGAGTTGTACATTGTTCTGATCTAATAACTTCTTTTCCATCATCATCAAAGTCATCAAGATCATCAAGATTGGATTTCTTTTCTTGCACTAATTCTAATGTTCGTGTCATAATTGCCTTTGCCCTTAATATATCTTTTATTACAAATGCTAATGGAGGGTTATTTATCTGTCCAGCAACTTCCTGAATGTCAAAACGTTTAATTCGACATATATATCCATTTGGAATATCCATGGTAAGAAGTTGAAATCGGTTAGCACTATGCAACATTCCAACAGTTTGTAATTTTCTAATAATTTGTTCATCACCATTACATTCTTTTATAAGTTGTACCAGCATATCCCTAAGCATTTTACTTAATTTCAAACTATCTCGAAGGTATTTTCTTCCATTTTTTCCCTCCCATTTTCTTCCAGCTTCAATTCCACCAATTTCTAATCTATCCCCCTTTAATCTAAAAATTCCATCACCTTTTCTACCAATTTTTTTTCGATCTGCATTACAACTTTTATTATTTTTTCTATCACTAGATGCTGTACTCATACCTTCTCCTCGTACCAAATTGATCTTTGAATTACGAAATGCAGGATCAATTATGGGACACCATATATTATGTTGATACCATCCTTCTAATCTTGATGAATCTAAAGTGAAATCTTCATTTTCCCAAAGTGTGTGTATTATACTGTATGCAAGATGAATATAATTTAAATCAAAATGTTCCTTATTGGAATATAAGGTATCAGCAGGTAAAAAAGGTTCAAAAATGATTTTTTGAAATGAGGATAAGTCAGTAATAGAATAATTTTTCATAAGATCAGTAAGTGATTTATCAATTTTTGGTACTTTTTGCAAGTTAAAAGAAAATATTTCCTCCCACTCTTCTTTTTGAAATAAAGATTCTGCTTCTTTATCAACTTCATTAATAATAAATGAATGTAAATATGATTCATATGGTAAATTTTGTGCATATTTATAAATTACTTTTTCAACAATTCGACCAGAAGATTTAAGAGTCCACATTTTTGCTGGATCTAAGCTATGATAAATAAGATCAAAATTGGTTAAGTTATCAATTTCTTGCTCATTCTCATTTTCATTATTATAGATAAACTCTTCATCATTTGCATATAGAGTGGATTGGACAGCTTTAGATTGAATGGGCTGGATGACTTTATCATTTGCAGTTTGGATGAATTGTCTTCTTATCTGAATTAAAAATTATTAAAAAATAAAAAGATATTAATTGTAAAAGCTTTTCATAAATTTTGTTTGCAAAAACATTTATAAATATTTACATTTTTTTTTGCCATCTGATTTTCATTATAATCTATGATTTGCCTCTTTCTTAAATTATGGACTTTACTAGTACTAGAAGCTGGACTAGACGTGTTAGAAGTGACTTTACTAGTAGAAGCTGGACTAGATGTATTAGAAATTGGACTAGATATCTATAAGTTATTAAATATATCAAATGGCTTAGTGAATGTTTATAATCAATTTCCCATACTAGTCAATAGTGCAAGAATTTGTAATATTATATTCACCATTTTATGTTCTTTAAAAATTCCTTCCCAGTATATTTTCACCCATTTTTCTAAATGCTCTGATTTTACCTATTGCAAGAAATAAGATATTAGCAGTGTGACAACATTTCATTTATGATAAAGAAAGGTACATAGTCAGTTCCTCTTCTGGAACTAATAGACCTTTACTGAACGGACACCTGAAATGAAGGCTATGGCGTGTTACCAAGCAAACAAGACAGTAATTCTCCAAATCAAATATATTATCATGGAGTTACCCTCACTTTGCAAAATAAAATACATGCACCTTTTCACTTAAATCCAGCCCAAGGCTTTCTGCTTCTCTTAAAAATTTGGATGACCAATAATCATCCATCTTTTTCCAGTTTGAGAATGATGATGAGAAAGTAATCATGTCATCATGATGTAAATATAAAAATCCACAGTAGGATTTATTTTTTCTTTCTTTTAAATAAGCAATGAGAACTGAATTTAAAGATTAGTAAATAATTTAAAGATTGACAAATAAATTAAATAAGAAGATTACAAGCCAAATTCAAGACTTACTGTCTTGACCAAAGTATTTCAACTCAGATGTGCTCATGTTGATTATTAAAATAACAAAAAGTAAATAATATGAATTAATTATGCTTTTATGGCAGAAAGTAATATGTATTAATTATGTTTTTCGGAAATTTAATGTATATGTGGGTTTTTAAATAAAAAAATTTGCTCTTACATTATCTCGCATTTATATTACATCTACTTTGTTAATATTGCATTTTTTTCAATAATTTTGTGTCAATATTACAAGAAGTAGCCCGATTTAGATATGATAAACGAATTATTCATATAGTATCAATTATTTTTACCAAAAAAAGAAAAAAAAATTAATAAATATGTCACTTATTGATATTATAATATGATTTGCAATATATCGTAATTTATACATTTTTCTTTATTAATCTAGAACATGTCTACCATTAGATATTGGTGTAACAATGAGGAAGAATGAAAAACAGAGTCATTTTTAAAATTTTTAAGGTATAATGAATATCATGTGAGTAATAAAGTATCCCAAAAAGATCGACTGAAAAATATATTGTAAATAAGGATGCATGTATGACTTTATATGAACATTTTCTATGTAATGAATAAAATTTCTAAATTGATTTACCTAGCGTACCTCGTACCTCACGAAAAATCACGTGACTGTTTTGTCACATACGCCACACTTTTCGAGGTGTGAAATCATTGCTTCACATAAAATAAATAAATAAATAAATAATTATTTGACACATAGTTAATTTCTTAATTTCTTAATGCCGGCCAATTTGTGACATTTTTGTCAGGTTTCGTTAGTGTAGTCATTAATGAAAATATCAATGAAAGGATAAATACTAATGTTTGGAACAAAGAATTCAGTTATTTTTTTTTCTTCAATGCAAGTAAAACTTTTTTTTGATTTATAGAATTTTTAGATCATCTTACCAAGGCGTAATCCTGGTCGGAATTATAAATTTGGCCTGAATTAACCTGCAAAATATACGAATATTCGGGTAATATCCGGATAAATTAGCTGGATATCCGGATAAACGGATAACGGATATCCGGATGGGCAGTATCAAATCATCATATCGTACCAGATATAAAAAAAAGAATAAAATTTTTTTGTATTGACATCATTTATTATCTTTGTTTCTTTATATATATACAAAAAAGGTATTAACCAAATCACGATTTTAAACTTTTTATCAAACTTTATGGCTAAAAATTTAATATAATCTTTTTTTTTTTTAATCAGTAATCGTTACAATTACAAAAAAAAAAAATCAACTATTTCTCAAACTTGATTAACTACAGTTTTCGTACTGTTTATCGTACTGTTTTTCATTCTTTTTCGTTTTTTTTTATTTTTTAATAAATTGGCAACATACATTCAATTCATTTTTACACAAAAAATTTTTTTCTTTTTTTGATCGTCATTGATCGTCATTCTAAGATATAATGGGATAGAATCGATGATCAGTAATATTCGGAACCGATAATTATTGGGCATGTATTTTCATTAAAGTTTTTTGTTTTTAGTTTAGTAAAATTTTTATATACACCGATTACATTCAACACATTACCAATAAAAGGTTTTTTCTAAATTCTTTTCTGTTCCTTTTCCTTTTTCATAACATATGACTAAAAGAAACATTGTACATTAAATTGTCGATACATCAAATAAATTATACCAATTTAAAAAATTGATTCTTTCGAATTTAACTAATTTCGGAATTAAAATGACCCATTTTTTTTTGCTATAAATTCGAAGAAATATGTAACATACGTAATAAGCGACTAAACAAAAATGGAAATTTAAACAATTGTAATTCTTGAAAAAAATAAATATATAAAGACATTAAGAATAATCCATTTTTCGTCCCTTACCTTTTGATTTTTTTTTTGTCAAAAGTAACGTACGTAAATAATATTATTATGTATTATAAAATAATGAAATTAAATCTCAAGAAGGTTTCGATCCTTTTTATCTCATTATTTGTAATTTGTTCATCGGCCATTCCAGCAAGAATTCATAATGTTGATAATGATGAACATCTTCATTTGAGAGCCTATACTAATGAAATTCAAAAGCGTCATGAACCGTTTAAAATTATTCAAACCGATTATTTTAAACCTTTTGTACATTTACCTTTTACTAATAAACCAGTAACTCGTTATTATCAATTGACATTAAAAAAAGTTAAATTATCTCCTGATGGTTTTGAAAGAACTGTTTGGAGTGTAAATGGTCAATATCCTGCTCCAATTATTCGTGCAAATAAAGGAGATAGGATGATCATAAATGTTGAAAACAAATTTGGTGATCCAGCAGGTATTTAAATTTTTTTTTTTTTAAAAAAAAACTTTTAAATATTAGATTCATTTTACTTCTTTTTAATTTTTAGCCGTCCATTGGCATGGTGTGTTCCAACATGGTACAAATTGGTACGATGGAGTTCCAGGACAAGTAAGTAAATTTACGATTATTTTTTTTTTAATGCTTGTTTTTTTTTATACCTTAATCAAAAATGAACTTTATTCAATAATAATATTAGACTCAATGTCCAATTCCAAATGATGTTTCATTTATTTACAATTTTACTACTGGAGACCAACACGGTACCTTTTGGTATCATTCTCATTTTATGGCACAATACGCTGATGGTTTACGAGGAGCATTAATGTAAATTAAGTATTATAAGTAATATAATAATTTTATATACATCTACATTGCTAATTGTATATTTAATAAATAAAAGTGTCCACGATCCAGATGATCCATATTTAAAAGAATATGATTATGAATATGTCATTACATTATCTGACTGGCATCATAGGTAAAAGAATTATACATAATTATAAAATTCGAAAATTTTATTAAAAATAATTTAATTAAAAGATTGACTTATTAATTATAAAGAACAACTGGTGAAATCTTACCAAATTTCATATCTCCAACTTATACTGGTAAACGACCCGTTCCTGATTCACCACTTTTGAGCGGTCGTGGTAGATATAACTGTAATGGGGCTCCAGATGGATCTAAATGCAAACCAAATGCTCCATTGGCAGTTTATAATGTTAAAAAGAATAAAAAATATAGATTTCGTATAATCAATTCTGCAGCAGATGCTTTCTTCATATTCTCTATTGATGAACATAAATTAAAACTTATTGAATCAGAAGGTATATATATTAAACCAACTATTATTGAAAAATTACCTATTAATGTTGGACAACGTTATTCTGTAATTGTTAATGCTGATCAACCGATTGGAAAGTATTGGATTCGTGCAACTATTGATAAAAGATGTGTCCTAATTAATAATGCGACAATTAATTTTAATTCTTCTATTGATTGGAATGGTCTTGGTATTCTTAAATATGAAGGATCAAAAAATGATAAACCTAAATCAAAAGAATTTCCCGAAAATTTCAAAATTTGTCGTGATCCTGATCCAAAACATTTGAAAACTCTTCAACCCGTTACAAAATATGATGGAAATGTTAGTGATTTTTTCAATATTACCGTTAAATTTCAAAGAGAAGGTGATGGAATAGTAAAAGCTGTAATGAATAATAGTTCATTCATACCACAATTTAATGATCCAACCATAAATAAAATTATAAGACATATCCCACCAGATGAATTACCAAAAGAACAAAATTCATTAATTTTTGATAATAAAAATGGTATAGTAGAAATTGCTTTATGGAATAATAATACTGATGAACATCCATTTCATATGCACGGACACGTTTTTGGCGTAATGTTTGTTGGTGAAAAAAATGAATATCCTGATGAAAAAAAATATGATAAGAAAAATCCTGTAATTCGTGATAATGTGACCGTTCCTGGTTTTGGATATTTGGTTATACGTTTCATCGCTGATAATCCTGGTATTTGGGCTTTTCATTGTCATATTGAATGGCATGTAGAACTTGGTATGGTTCTTCAATTAGTAGAACTACCTAGTATTTTAATGAATGAAACTATACCAAATGATGCTTCATCTTTATGTTTTAAAAATGATTATCAAAAGAAGAGAAATCCTACGACACCATTTCATAATCGGGAAAGAATGTTTAATCCTGTTATAATTAATGAAATTAGAAGAGATATTAATAAAATCAGATAGAAAAAAAAAAATCTTTTAGAAATATATTTAGATTTATTAAACATATTAGTAGTGAATAGGGATGGGACTTTATAAGTTTTTAGTAACTAAAATTTTTTATTTAATTAAATTGAAAATTTTGCTTTTTTTAATTTATAGTTAATTGATAAGTAGTAGTTAATGATAATAATTGTATTCTAATTTAATTGATTAAACTAGACTTATATGATTGATCATTTATCTTTACTTGAAAGTTTGAAAGTTGTTGGAATTCTTAATTCATAATTAATTAATTAATTGGAATTATATTTTTAAATTATTTCGAGTTATTGGTATCGCCAAATTCACCATAAAATATTTGTTATAATTTTTCCAAAGTCACATGTAACCGTCCGACTATTATTTTTTTTGCAGGCGACGCTAGGGTTGTTACTACATCAATGTCATGTTATGTTATTTTAATATAAACGAAAAAAAATCAACAGAAAAGTTATAAAAAAGCAATTAAAAGACAATCTTACCATTTTTGTATTAAAATTATCATCGTTATACTCACTATGCTAACAACATTTTTTAACTACAAGTCAGGGTAGCCATGATCTTTACTCAGAAGATTCGTTTCAATACCATTCAAAGTTTGCAAAAAAACTTTTTTGGATAACAAAAGCTCAACACATAATCTCTCAAATGGGAACGACACGACAATCAATTTTTGTGCACGACGAAAAGATTAAAAAATTTTTTTTTTTAAAAAAAAACGGTACAAACATTAATTTTAGGAAAAACCATGTTTATTTATCTTTTTTATCTTAAAACTACAATAAAATACTTACTTACATCTTTGCGAAAAATAAAAAAAATCACAACTCAACTAAACTTGTAAATTTATTTAATTTTTGTAAATAATAATACTAGATTTGTAAAAATTGTCCCCTTATTATTTGATGCACAAAAATTAATTCACCACAACAAAAAAAATACAATTATGTACGTCCATTATTTGATTAACTTTTCATAATGAAAAAATTTTTTTTTTTTTTCACGTTGAGAAATTTTCGATTAACTTTTTCATAATAAAATAAATTTTTTTTTTATACAAGGGGCGAAATTTTACATACAGCCATATTTACACGATAGTTTATTTTGTATTAAATTTATAAGTAATTATCAAATAGACATTTCCGTAAATATCGATGTTGGTAAAAACGTTGATAAAATCGACGGTGATAAAATATTGATAAACCACATAACGGTAAACCTTGGAATGTTGAAGATATAGACGAGGGTCAACTTAAATTAGATGATACTGTTCAACATGTTAAAATTAGTATACTTATGGTAAGTGATAATTATTTGATTATGTGATTATTAAATTTTGTTAATAGTTGATATTTATTTTTAGTAATCGATAACCGATATGAAAAATAAAAATAATTATATTTCGGAATATGGTTTTTCAAAAAATGGGAATAAGGAGAATAAGATAATAAATATAATAAAATTATTTTTAAAAATAATCGAGAATAAACTATAATAAATTAATAAAATTTTATTTAATTTTAGTTTAAAATTAAGAAATATTAGAATTTTTAGTAATGAAAAATTTATTTGTACAAAAGTTGACGATTTTAAAATTATTATTCATTCAAATCAAATTAGGAATTTATATTGCTTTTTGGATATAAATGATGGTAAATTTTGATTATTACTCTAAATACTCGTACTAATCCATTTAATTTTTGATAATTAACTATATAATTTTATGAATCATATTGGTTTATGTCCTTTACCTTCTTTATTCTATTGTATACCAGATAAAGGAATCTGCTTTACCTTATTTTCTAATACTTTTTTTTTTAAAAAAAAAGTAAATGGGCAAATGACTTTAATAATCTTTATTTAAAAAAATCCAAGATTTTGACGGATTTTTCAAAATCATTAAAATCATTTAAGGGTTTTATCATAACATATATATTATACAGATAAATATTTTGAAAATTATAAATCTAATATATTTTATTATGACAAGACGGCGAGTTCATGCGATTAATTCATCTTTGATTATATGGTTAGGTAGTTTTCAATAAAATACCTTTTCTTCGATAAATCAAGGTGGTTATCTATTAAAAATGAAAAAAGTTTTGTTCTCTGGTCGTCAGTAATTTAACTGATAAAAGGTTAAAAAAATCAAAGTTTGACATCGATTATTTCAAATTAAGCTCCGGATTTTAAAAAAATGATTGCAACCTCAAACATCAATTATGAAAATTGAAGATAATATGATTAAAATCACATGACATGGTATACTATGAATGAGCTTTATTCTTTTTAGCATGACGCAGGCGCTAGGGTTAATGTATAACTGGTTAAACCGGTTAAGGCATCTTAAAAGTCGGTTAGTTAAGATCATAATTCTGATCTCATTCAGCATATAATTATATAATACGGCCCAAAGAAATGTAATCATAGTTACGTGTTTCCACAGCTTATTCTATATTTTTTATTTATTTATTAATAGTTTAATACGGTAACAGTATATATTAATCTCTCATAAGTAAAATCAAAAATCGGTCCAAAAAATTTCTGAAATATTTTTTTTAATAATAACCGGTTACAAAAACCATATGTTTAACATCATTAAAGAACTCAAAAGAAATAACGAAATTGAATTTAAAGTATTGGAGTCAATAGTTTATGTCAAAATTTTATTGATATTAATTAATGTATTTTGGTGGGTTGATTAATATGTCATTTGAATAACAAAAATCATAATCGAAACGAAATAGTTCCAATGAGTTTTTAGCTTTAAAATTTAATTAACTCAATGTTACATTTATGATACACATCTCATGATTTATTTGAGCTTTTGATAACTTAATGATATTCTTAAATAATAAACCGAATGTCAAAATCTTGATATTCTTAACTAAAAAAAAAAGAAAATCGTGAGAAGCCTAAAATTTATCTATTTCATTTATTAGAACATTTTTTGGAGTTAGTTTTTCATAGAAATTAAAATGAGTTTAATAAAAATGTTGTGTCATTCAACAAACATTTTAATGTATTATAAAGTGTAATATTTACATGAGTAAAACTTTAATACTGTAATGTAATTATTGCTAATAACTTAAATGATTTCTAGATTTACCCGACAGAAAAAAAAAAAATTATTTGAAAATAATGAAAATTTATTATGAATATTGTCTATTTTGTAATTAATCTTCTCACATCACAGAAAGTCGCTCAAACACTATTCATGCTACGCTGTTGCTTATAAAATTAATTTGTATTGTGTGGTTTATATTTCGAGTTGTGCATTTTGGATAATTTTTTCCGGAAATTAGTATAATAAATTAAACTTTCCTATTTTTATCAAGTTAATTCTTGATTTGGAATTATTAAATTATAAAGTAAACTCTAGCGTCATCAGTTAGCAACCACCATCGATTTGTATTAATGTGATGCTAATTTGATTGGTTCCTTTTGGGTCCTGGTGTTTAACAATAAAAAAAAATAAAAAAAGAGGATAAAAATGTACATAATAAAATACCTAACTAATACATAATACATAACTAAATCACAAACAAAATTTATATTAACTAAAATTTGTGTTGGCTAAAAGGATCTACCTAGACTAACTTTATGTGCAGTACACCGTACGTCAAAAATCCGAGTCAAAATACTGTACCACCCGTTGAGCTACTAGTAAAGCATCTTTTATTAACCAACTAAAACTAGCACTTCTAATATTCAATTGCTCTCAATGACACAAGTCATACAATCCACAAGCAGTTATCCTGGAAATCTTAACTTTCAAAGCAAGGGTCCGCAGGAAAGTCGTGAATTCTTCCTGATGATCGTCATACCGCAGCAAATGATTTATATCGGCTAAATTTATGCCGATTCTTTTTTATCCTCATTGAGTAGATTTGCATATTTAATTGGTACAGGCACGGAGTCACACAGCAGATACAATTCAACGAATATTTATGTATTAGGTAACACTAAATTTTTTTTTTATGAACGTGGAATTCTTTTTCAAACAAATTTGAGACAAAATTACTTCTAACAGAATTATATTATAAAAATGAGCTTTATTAATGAAAACCAACTAATATCTGAACTTAATGAATTAAATATTTCTGATAAAGATTCTAATTCCGTAAAAATTAATCATGAAAATTGTTATAATCCAAAGAAACAAGAATTTTGGTGTAAAGAATGTGTTCCTCGTTGCATAATTGAAGGATGGACCAGCAGTGGAAATGATGATATTGATAATCTTATCAAGGATTCGATTTATAATGTAAGTTCGGAATATATTGATGATGATATTAAATATTATCCATCATTTCTTGAATGGGTTCCATTTGATAGATTTGAAGATATGAAACAAATAGGTGAAGGTGGATTTGCAAAAGTGTATTCTGCAACTTGGATTGATGGTATAGCAAAATACATTAAACAAGATGATGGAAATTGGATAAAANATATTAGTATTATCTATTGAATACAAATGTACAATTATTGAAAATTGATCCGTTTCCTTTAAAAATATCCTGTAAAGTTTCAGTTTCATTTATTGTCAATTTGTTGGATTTGTTAGAAAATGGAATTCGGCTTTCTTGATTGATTTCAGCTAATTTTATTAATAGAAATCAATAAAATAAAATAAAATAAAACAAACTATTAATAAATTACCTTTAAAAATTTCGCGTGCACTAGTAAAAGTTGATTTAAGTTCAATTGGTGTTAATGCTTGCTTATCTGGCATTGAAAAATGTGGCAAAGGTTCTAAAACATCTAAAATTCCATATTGTATAATTAGTATATTGAAAATCAATTTAAAAATTAAAATTAAAACTCACCCGAGCCTTCCATTTGATCATTATCTATAAGAACGTTCATTAAGTTGTTTAAACTAACATTCTGCATTTTTTCTTTAGTTCTTTCATAGCTAGTAAATCCTGAATTTGATTTATGCCGGGTAATTGCCATAACTTCATTGTCACTAGTACCAAGTTCTTTCAATATTCCTACTAAACTTTTTCGGGCGCTATGGTTGCTGATCTTTCGATTGCCAATATCAATACCACATTCTATTACAATTTCATGTAAAAAATTTTTTAATCGCTTTTCACCAACATGAAACTTTTGAAACCAACGATTATAAATAATATAATCTATAAATAAATAAATAAGTTAACTAATAAATGTCATATTACTGAAAAAAATAGCATAAAATGATAAAGTACATTGAACTCACCATCTTCAGACACATATTCTCTTAAATAGAATTCTTTATCGGCATTACCTGGTCTTTTAGAAAAATATTTGTTATAAGTTTCCATTATCATTGGATGATATGGAATTCTTAATTTTTCATCATTTAATGAGCCATTAATACCCCTTTGATTTGTTTTACTTCGAGGAATATTTACATCAAAACCCTGACCATCAGCTCTAAACTTAAAATGAGAATATTGTAATGAATAGTGCTCACCACCTCTAAGAGCTAAGAATAATGCATTTAAAAAAAAGACTTTTTTTAACAATCCAGTGGGTGTGTCAATGTTTAATACTGGTGAATACAGTATTTTTTTACATTCTTCAACAGAAAGACCATCAGCTCCTTGAACATTGGCCTTTCCTTGTTCTGCTACATGTTTCATTTTGCCATCTAATACATCATATAATATTGGAAATTGTTTTCTTGAAGTAAAATCCATTGGAGATAGTGATGATAAATCATTTAAATGTCGGTTTAATGCATGTATAGCACTGAGGATAGATCTAGCCTTGTATTCTTCACCAGAATTAGTCTTCATAACTGTTACGAAACTACAGATTTGACTTTCTAATTCCTTTCTATCAGTAATATCTATGCTTTTACCAGTAAATCCAGCTTTTTCACGAAAGTTTTCAAATTGGTGAACCCAATTTGCTGTGGATTTATCTGTATTTACTACTCTTGACTTCTTTTTGAAAAAATTTATTTCGTCTTCTGTAGGTAAATAAAACTTGAATAGAAAATATTGTATTAGCAAATTAATATAACAATATTTTGGTAATAATAACAACATACTTTATCATTATTTATTTTATTTTTGTTAGTTTTTTCCTTCATTATTAAAATAAATAATAGAATAGGTTGAAAGAAAAAAATGTGTAAAGAAAAAGTAGGGTATTTAAAAAGTGTATATAAAAAAGAATGTGTAAAAGAAAAAACGCGTAAAGAAAAAATGTGTACAAATGAGTGGATTTAAAAGAAAGTTTAAATAAACTTTTAAACGCGTAAAGAAAAAGACGCGTAAAAATTGAAATTTAAAAGAAAGTTTAAATAAACTTTTAAAACATGATCTTGGTGGTCTGCCACAATAAAATCATTATTAGGTAAGAAGTATTCAATATTACCATTTTGACCATCAACATTATATGATTGGCCATTGTGCCACTACGTGGCACAATAACGGCCAATCATTTAACATCGACGGTCATAAATCTTCATATTGAATACTTCTTACCCAATAACTATATAATATGGTGTGTTGCCATATATTGCTCCAGAAGTTTTAAATGGAGAACCATATACATTATCTTCTGACATTTATAGTTTTGGTGTAGTTATGGCTGAATTATCATCTGGAAAACCACCTTTTCATAAAAGAAAACATGATAATAGCTTAGCATTAGAAATATGTAATGGACTCAGACCAGAATTTGGAAAAGGAACTCCTGAAATTTATAAGAAATTAGCTCATAGATGTATGAATGCTAATCCAAATCAAAGACCAACAGCCAATGAATTATATGAAATATTAGAT